TTGCTGCTACAGCAACATAAATTTAAGTTCCTGTTTGATTGATCAAAGCAGTGAATGCTCAGTACTACTAAAAATTATAACAAATGGTTTAAAGAGCTTTTATATTTATGGAATCAATTATTCCTTTATCCCAAAGATATGCTTTATTATATTGGAAAGGGGAATATCTTCTCTTTGGTAATTGCTACAACGCGAACAACTCTGGAGAGCAAATCTGGAGAAGAGCACTGCCTTTACTTTTTCCTTTTGATGAATCATTTCTTTGCCTCAGTTGTACATAGTTAAACCAGAGGTGCTTGTTGATGATAAATTATGTGATAAAGAAAGAGGAAAACGTTGACAGTTAGACATTTACAAGAAAGAATTTTAAGTATCTTTGTTGTTGCTCAGTTTTAATGTATGTTTTCAGTATAATGCATGCATGGGAAATAAGAGTCAAGAGTGACCTACAATAGTACAGGCAGAAACTACTGAAGGTAAAAACAAACCAAGAAGAGATTAAATACCAACAGAAGCTGTACTGCATAATCACAGTTGGAACTGTGCAATATAGTGTGAAATAAAACAGTGGGCTGCCTAACTTGAATTTCCTGTACTTTAGTTAATATATTAAGTTGTATTAAATTATTTTGTGTAATCTTTAGTTTATATTTGGTTAGTCATTTAGGAGCTTGATCAAATAAAGTGAAAAATTTAATTTTTATCCAAACAGATCTTGAATATTTATCTGACTCTTCCTCAGAAGCAAAGCTTTTTATTTTAATTTAGTAGAAGATAATTTTATTTTGCTAATGAATTGAATGCTTTTGAAATGAAACCTTTTGCTGACCTTTTTATTTTAGTCTTGTTGTTACGTTGCAAATTTTCCAAACTTCATTAAGGTGTCTTCATTGAAAAAAGAGTAAACATTTGGCTTTATAGCTTATATTTAGATTTTTTCATTTTATTTCATTCACTGCCATGGAGGAGTTGAAATCCTCTCACTAAGTATGAATTAGTGGCAGGCATTGATCGTACTAAAAATTTTAGTTCCTGAAGTCGGAGGCTGAATTTTTAGGAGTCCAGCAGAATCCTCCCTCTAAACTACAAGCAGGAGAGCAACTTTCAGAGTTGAGATACTCTTGGAAAATTATAAAGCATTTCTGTTCTATTGGTTTATATACTTTTTTTCTGTCTGAAGATTGCTAAAATGAAGTTCTGTTTCTGTACTGAATCTTCAGCAGACTAAACAGCTGGATATGTAGGATTTGTTTTCCCTTTCAGACACATTAATTCTAGTTTCAGACTTTGTCATTGTTGCATGTGATGAACCTTCAGCAAACTGATCTTGATTTTGTGACTCTCGGATCATCTGAACTGGTTGACTTTCATCTTTTAGCTATGCCAGAATTTTCTAGGTGTTCTGAAAGAGTAAAGCAGTTCTATGGAACATTAGTTTATCCTGAATCTTCAATTTTTCCAGCACTTGAGTCAAACTTTCCTAAAGGTGGAAGAGCCTTAAAGTCATTCTCATCCCTGAATATAGCTTTCATTTCCTTAGCTGTTTTTTTGAGTCTGATTATCTTTAGATCTGAAAGACTGCCAAGAGGTATTTATTCTTTACCTAGACTTGTGTTTGATTAAGATGGGACTCATTTTTCATGTAATTAGATTGTTTGTATTTTAAGTTTTACTGTCTCTTCCCGAGTCATGAAAAATGAAAGTAGAAAGACTCTGCTACCTAATGTTTCTAAGTATTTCACTACTAAATCATCATCAGAAATTTGAAAATGGAATTTATTTGATATTTATCATACTCTGCTTACTGGATTGTAATGCTGCTCTTGTTCTTTGTCCCTTGCAGAATCCAACATAGTTTTACTTCAATTTATTTGCCTAAGTGCAAGGAATCTTCTTGTTGACTGTCTTGTCTGTGTTACCTCGTTAACAAACTTGTGGCACAAATGACTAGGAGTTATGTACATACCCCTAAGGGTCAGAATTTTTGTTTAAGGAATCATATCAGTAATTGTAAAATAATAATTGGAGCAGAACTTGTGAGACTACTTTACCAAACATGGCAGTGAATTTAAAAAGAAAGGTGAAAGCAGAGTTTATGGAGTTAAATATTAACTTTTCAAACACTAGCTTATAATATTCAGGTGTTTATATGCTAGTATTGCTCAACTTCAATTTAAGAGTTTCATATACCCTAACAGGCTACATACAACTTTTAAAAATTAATAATAGTTTTAACATTTATTTACTGATTTATGTTTTTGCAGGGTGTGGTGCGACTGGATTTGAAAATGAAAAGTTTTTTAGAAGAGTTTCCCTTAAGCAACTTTTAAAAAAGTTAGCCTTAGTTTCAGACTCGGTATTCCATAGAAACAAATTAATCCCTGCGTTTAATTTCAATATTAGTCCCAATGAAGTGTAGTTTTATTACTCTTCTTATTTTGAAGAGTGTCTAACCAAAAAAAAAGTTACAAGCCAGTTTATGAAAAGTTTTAACTTAGTTTAATTTCTTCATGCTAGAGCAGTTTTAACCAATTCATCCTAATTTGCATGGATGAATTTTGAATGAACAATGTATAAATGCATGTAAGAATTAATGTATTTTCCTGTTAGTGGGCATCCTAGTCCAGAAGCACTTATTAATGTGCTAGCAGTATACATACTGTATATTTTTTTGCCTCTGAAACACTATATAAAGGGTTTGTGGTTTATGTGTTGTTCGTTTTGACTTTATTTGCTGTTTGTAGTCTTGACAAGAAACCAAAGTAGTGTGTTAAGTACGAAGAACAGTGAAACATAATTCCATAATGAAAATTTTTAAAGGTTTTTTTTTGGTGCATATTGAAAGTTGAAGCGTTTGTGCTTGCACACTCTGCTAGGCTGTGTCATCATGCAGAATAAGGTTTGCTATCTTTGCTCAGGTGAAGCTAAGTTGGCTTTTACTGTATAGAGCTGTGTGAAGCAATTGCTTTATCAAGAGAAGTATTGGGCTAAGTCAAACGGTAGCCTGTAGCTCCTAATAAGGCCAACTAACTAGAGTTAAAATTATTATCACAGTGGTACGAAGATCTTGATGTATTAATCCTTCAGTGAAAAAAACATTTAGAAAGTTTCGCTGGCAGGCAATTACAGACTGTACAGTTTCAGTAGAGCACATACACATTTAGCTGCTTCTGCCAGCAAAATGTAATGTAGATTAGGATGGATATTGAAGCAGGAGAATTTATAAAAATCTTCTAATGTGTACAGTCAGTTCTGTGTGTATTGGCCCAATTTCATTCTTTCTAAAATGCCTAAAATTCTTACAAAGAATGTTTCCAAGTATTGTCAGTGTATATCTCTCTATCTCTCTATATATCTAATTATTCATTATTCTTTGGTAGGTATATATGTACATGGTTTATTCATGGCAGATAAAGCTCAGTAGTCTCTGGAACACTAAAATTAATGAGAACAATGAGAATTTGGAATTCTCTGCGATATAATATACTTGCAATTGTGAGCTACAACTGATTAAAGTTACAGTATGATTAAAAACCTTTCAAAACCTTATTATTCTTTTCTTTCTAAATCATCAGAAAATGAATTTGATTCTTAAGGATGTAGAAAGCAATAATAATCCCAAGTGGTGGTATAATATGATTTATATGAAGGACATGCCCTTTGTTGTATTTTGAATGATAGATATACAACAGAGCAGTAAATAGAAAGTAATCCTTATAATGTCTTTTATGCATCTCACTGAAAATATTTAAGAATGCAGTTAAAACACACCAGTTGAAAAAGAATGAGTTGTATATTCACTAATTATCTAACTACCCACTATTTAATTTGAGCAGCACGTAATAGCTACTGTCCATCTTGCAGATTGTTAGCAATTAATGAGGTAATAAAGAGCTTGCACACTTGATGTTGGGAGTCACAGCTGAAGGAAAAGTCATTTAACGTGTTGCCTTATTCTTAGATTTTAACTGTAATTGTTCAGCATATCCACCATCTGTCTGAGTGACTCATGCCTCTGGCTGTACTTCTGCCAAAGGAAAGATTTTGGACTGTCATAGAGTATTCATTACACAAATGTGAAGTGTTATGAAGTGAAAAATTATACGAGATTTAAGTTATCCGTCCCTTTGTATGTCTTCTCCTTTACTTTTTTATAGATTTCCTTTATTAAAAACATACTGTTCAAGTGGTTTGGGCAAATCCTAGTTGATTTGGAATAGCCTGTTATGATTCCATGCCACATGTCAGAAAGCATGTAAATATATCGATATATCTGTTGCTGAGTATAAATATGCATAGAAGTTACAGGTTGGCTGTTGGATATTATGGCTAACGAAGGAGCCAACACTTAACTTCTTCTCTGCTACATAATATATTATACTGTTATTATATTATTACAGTATTATATATATTGAATTTAATGTGAACCCTTAATATTATGACTTGGGTGGGTTTTTTTACAGGATGATACCACCTAAGTTTTACATCCTGAAAAATAGATAGGCAGCTGGAAACTCTATTTTGCCATTTTAAATCAGAGCTTGAAAATTTTAGGACACGTAAATGTCTTTTGTCTGACTGCCATCTCCAGGCTATTGTCTAGAACAACTAATCCAAATGCAGGCTTCATACCTGCAAGCACATCTCTTATGTGTCAGTAGTCTTGTTCAGCTCACTGGGTCACTTCCCACAGTTTACACACGTTGGGAATATTGTCTGTGTTTGTTTTCATCTAAGGGTTTTGTTCTGTCTTTAAGGTTTAGTCCATTCAAAAGGAAGGTGTAGGATCTCTGTTGGAGATGTCATACCTCTGGCTTGTGCTGTGTTAATTCTATTCTCAAAGAGATGAATTTGGGGCAGCAGAAGTATAAAAACACCTCTTCCTATGTTTTTACCAGCACCTTCCTTATCATTTTGCTGTTAATCATAATTAAATGCACCATCTGAATTGGTATGCCAACAAAAGCTGAATGTTCTAATTCTTTCTTCTATTGAATCAGGCTATGTTTGATGCTTTGTCCGATCTCCCCGAGTGGTACGGTATAAAAGAAATGCAAGCAAATTGGATAGGTGACTGTGTTGGATGCTCTCTTGACTTCTTGCTAAAGGTAAGTCAGAAATTTCAATGCTGCTCTCTGGTCGGGCTGACCACAACCCCTGAATGCGTGATGGGAATAGATTTTCAGATCTAAAAAGCTTGAAAGCTACTAAAAGAGATTATTATATGCCCAGACCAGCTCAGATTCTGAAGAACACCGCTTGTGGGTTGAAGAGATACCCCCTGCTGTTCTCCTTAGAAAAGGGTTTGTGTGTTCAGGTGCAACATGGGATGCAGCTTGGCTGTGTGTATTTGTGCCAAAAGCCAGGACATTTAGGGGAGCAGTATCAAGTGGCACTGCACGAGTCAGCTGGGATCTAGCTGGGCTTTAGCTCCTCTCTGCGCAGCGCCTTCTCTGTCAGACCCAAGCTGACCTCAAGCAAGGCACTTTATTGACGTTTGTCCATTATTTCATTTATTGAATACAGTAATTAAAATAATGAAAACCAGACAACTAGGTCATGGTAGAGTTACAGAGAAGTCTGGATAGAAAGAAAGGAGAGGAGGAAAGAGGAACTTAAAGAGAATTATAATTATCTACGGAAAAATGGTAAAATCTGAAGTCCTCCTGAAGAGATGCAAAAGGCTTTTGGAATATGATAGTGTCAGAAGAGATTTTCAGAGACCTTGGTGGAATTTCAGCCCTTGGATTTCAAAGCTTTATTGTGCTCATTTACTCTGGTCTAACATTCTTCTTATTTTAAAATACAGAATTTTTGGGAACCTCAAATTGAGAAAGCTTAAACCTTCTTAGTACCTCTGAATTGCACACTGCTTCAAGATGCAATTTAAGTTGTATTTAAGTTGTTTTTGTCAGTTGTTTTTGAAACTATGTATCAATGCCTGTTGTAGAAAAATCTCCTCTTGTGACCCCCATACACTCCACAGTTAATTGACCTAAAATATATAGCCTGTTGATAGTGCTGGGTGATAATTCTTAAGCATTCTTCTGGGCTTATCACTCACATTTTACATCCAGTTATTTTAATGTTGTGCCACCTTTTATTATTTTATTCCTCTATGTAAGTTTCAGGATTGACGTCATCAGAGAAATATGGTGGAAAGCCTGGTAGCTGAGAAAATTTTAAATTCTCTTTAGATTTCAGAGGTAACATCTCATTTCTGTTTCTTGGAAACAGAGCACGCGTATTAAAAGGGAATAGAAGGATTCCAGGTTACTTAACCAGGGATTGGATTAGCTCAGTAGCACAATGTAGTATTATATATACTTTTAGAATATAAATATTTATATATAGATTTGGATGAACTGAGGCAAGATTGTAAAGCAACTTTCACAAAGTCTTAAAAGTGCATTTTGTCAAGACTTGATTCTTGATAAAACTCTCTATGGAGAGAATGCATCTGGCTTTGATATTGGGAATTGTGTATTTCTACAGGGTGATGTATATTTCTTAGTTCCATAAAAAGGAAGGGGAGTCTAAATCCACTGTATTTCCAATGGAGGAAAAAAGGAAATTCATCAGGGATATTTTCTGCTCTTTTTCAGGTTAATGGTAAAGCAACAGAAGAGAAGGTAGCAGCTTACACCTATACACCTGAAGCCATTTACGGAGCTTCCCATTTATATATCTTACCAACTCACAGACTGCTGCATGGCAATAGCAGTCTCAAGGAAGTCTTTCAGAAGGAGTTCATCCCAGGCAAAGGTGATATTTTTCTCATACTGCATTTTGTTGTAGAAGAGTAACAGTTTTAGAGAATAATGTGTGTCAAGCTGAGCATGAGCTGTTCCTGTTGAGAGGGAACAGAACTTCTGATTCTTTGTGTATGTCAAACAGTGTCACATCAGCCTGCCCTAGCTTCAGCTGCACTAACAGCAGCTACGTTAGAATTCTTCCTTTTATAATGGCTGTAAAACTTCATAGTGTATAAAAGCAATGGAGCAGATTCTTGTTTCTTCATGTACCAGAAGTGAATTGTCCAGCTCTGACGGCATCGAAGAATCTCACGGCTAAATGGCAATTTGTCGTTAGCACAAAGACAGCAGAACCAACTCTTGCACCAAAGATGATCTCTTCCTGTCACAAGAAACATCAAGAGGGCAAGAGATCATTAATAGGTAGCAAAGTGGATTATTGATAGATAGCAAAATAATATTCTGCTTTGCTGATCTTTAGTTAATACAAGATTCTAACGGAGTAAATTCAGAGCAGCCCTATGGCAGGTCCTGACTTGTACAGAGGATACAAATAAGAGGTAATTCTTTAATTGGTGTTGATTGGTTTTCTGAAGGCTCCTACCACCAATTCTGCCTTTATTTAGCATGCCTGGCCAACTCTTTTTTTTGATCTTTGGGAAACCTGAAAGTTATAGGAGTAAATACAAAGTATACTGAATATTTTTTGTTTCTGCTTCAGGCTGGTGTTCAGTATTTACTTTTTCCTAACTGGTAAACATGTGGCTTCATTGTCTGTATAACACCTGATGTCAATAGCAATGAAGCAAGAATCTTGTGAGAAATTGTGATGGTTGAACTGAACCTGCTTTATTTTTGAGTGCTTCATTTCTGTAACCCTAATAAAGTTCACTTGCTGTCAGAAAAAAAAGGAGCCTGAATGTGTTAAGTATTTGGAGCACTTGTTTCAGAGCTGAGAAAAGCTTGGAGAATATTTATTAAGGTACAAAGGAAGAAATCTGCAGTTCTTACAATTCAGCCAAATCAAAGCACTAACCCCAGAAAAGCACATCCATGTACGTACCTGTATCTTTGATGGATCTTATGCTTTAAGCTAAACCACACAGGTGCAAAACTTGTTCTTAATAAAGACCACAATGTATTTATTGTGGGGTTTTTTTAAGTGAAAATACTCGAAAGGGTTTTTTTTGTGTCTGTTAACTTTCTTTCATCACCGTGTTCTCATTTAAATAATTAGAAGGTTATGTGTTCATGCTTTCTAGTGCATGCAACTTAAAGTTCTAATACCATTACTCTTGGAGTACAGTTCTGTATTTTAGGCTATAGTTATTTAAATTAAGTGTGCAACTGATTTTCAAACATTCTTTTTTTTTTCATCCTGGCAAAATTTATGTTAATTTATGATCTGTTAAGTCTCTTAGTTTTGTCAGTGTGGTGAGGTATCTGAGATAAAGATTTGATCCGTACATTGTTCATTATCTTATTATAATACTATGCATAAATTCTTTTACATTTGTAACTGTAATATCATCTCTTGACCACTATTATAATAATGATGTGAGCTAATAAAGAGTACCTTCATAAACTGGAGTTATTATTTTGGGTTCCAGTATAAAATGAAAATAATTACTGGGTGGAAGAGAGAAGTTCATTTTAAAGCAGACTGTCCTGCCCACTCAGCATCCTGTTCAGGAGGCTTCTTGCTTAGTTGCTTTTAAAGAGTGAAATTATTTCTTTTGTACATCTTTTAAACGGAGGAAAGGTATATGCAGTGGTCTGAATGTGAGAAATCTTATCTAGAATATGGGTATCTCAGACACCTGAAATTGAAAAAGAAGTAAGCAGAAATAAGTATGTTGTTTGTGTTAACAAGACTGATGAGATATAGTGGCCCTGTTCTCTAAAATGCTGCTATGCAGTTTTTATGCATAACAATACAAGACTGAGACTTTCCTCAGCATAGCTATGAAGATAGGTGAAAGGAAGTTCTTAGCATTATTTTAATTATTTTAATTGTTTAATTATTTTAATTAGCATCAACTTAAAGGCACTAAAAAGTTAGAAACAGGTCCAAACTGAAATATGGAGTTTGAATCCTCAAAACTTAGAGTATTCAGCTTTGATTTTCTTCTTGCTGAGACACCAAAGCTACACATTGTAAATCAATTTCAGATTCTCTCCTCTCTCCCCTTCCCTGTGGATATTAGATTCCTCATCTCTACTTTATTTCAAGCAGTTTTTATGCATAACAATACAAGACTGAGACTTTCCTCAGCATAGCTATGAAGATAGGTGAAAGGAAGTTCTTAGCATTATTTTAATTATTTTAATTGTTTAATTATTTTAATTAGCATCAACTTAAAGGCACTAAAAAGTTAGAAACAGGTCCAAACTGAAATATGGAGTTTGAATCCTCAAAACTTAGAGTATTCAGCTTTGATTTTCTTCTTGCTGAGACACCAAAGCTACACATTGTAAATCAATTTCAGATTCTCTCCTCTCTCCCCTTCCCTGTGGATATTAGATTCCTCATCTCTAATGTGAGTATGAATACTCTGTTTGGGAATCAGCTGGTTATTTAGGTTTCTTTTTTCACACTTGTCTATACTTCTCAGACTTTGTAGTTCTTCTGTAAGAAAACAAATCTTATTTTAATTATTTTAATTGTTTAATTATTTTAATTAGCATCAACTTAAAGGCACTAAAAAGTTAGAAACAGGTCCAAACTGAAATATGGAGTTTGAATCCTCAAAACTTAGAGTATTCAGCTTTGATTTTCTTCTTGCTGAGACACCAAAGCCACACATTGTAAATCAATTTCAGTTTGTCACCCTTGATTCTCTCCTCTCTCCCTTTCCCTGTGGATATTAGATTCCTCATCTCTAATGTGAGTATGAATACTCTGTTTGGGAATCAGCTGGTTATTTAGGTTTCTTTTTTCACACTTGTCTATACTTCTCAGGTTTTGTAGTTCTTCTGTAAGAAAACAAATCATAAGCATAGTACATATGCTCCCCTTCAGTTTCACCTGAATAACTGGATGTTTTTTTTGCTTAACTTTTTAATGTCTGTTAGTATATAATTCAGGGCTTACTACAGCCACTTCATGCAACTCTGCAGCACACAAGTAGTGGTCAAAGACTCACTATTTTTTTAATTATAGTCCCAATCTTACTGGTTTTATTCGGGTGTTTGTTATAAGTATGTTTTCTAATTGTGAATTTATCGCTCAGTCTTACTGAAGATTTTCATATGCCTGAACATTTTAGAAATGTGATTAGACTTTTCATTTTCCTTCTTATTTAAACAAAATTCTAATTTAAATTTCATGCACATTTAAGATAAACTAAGATTTAATAGCAAGTGATGTTCTTAGCATATTTTCTGTCATATTTTACTTACTGTGATCATTACATTTGTTTTCAGACTCGGTTACTTCAGTGACAGCTGTGAATTTGCTTACCAATCAGGAGATTCCTGTAGTCATCTCAGCAAAAGACAATTTTGAGAATTATCTTGATACTAAAATAGGTATGTGACATTTATCATGTAAGTGAAATAGTATGGGTTTCAGCTGCTCTGTTGGAGCATCAGATACTGTTGCTGCAAATCTTTGAACACGGTGACTCTCTTCTGGACTTAGGAATCCAGTTCTTCATGACTGTTCTTCATTAGTGATGAAGGATGGGAAAAGTAGCTATGTGGAATCTGTCTGGGGGAAAGATTTACAGGATGATAAATTTTAATGGAAATATTATAAAATTAGTACGTTTAATGAGCTAAATTTGAGGATCTGCATATCTAAAGAGGATTGATTACCTACAGTGCATGTGTATTTGGCTGTCTCTCACCATCCTTAATCAAAACAGAACTGCACCGTTGTTTCACATAAACATTTTGCAAACAACTAAAACCTTTAGCTTGGTTTGTTTTTTTTTTTGTATTATTTTTACATAAATTATGTGCATCCTTTAAGATAAATGTTTCAGACAGTAAATGTAAAAACTTCCAAGTCGGACTTCTATCTAGTTATATTTATTTTGAGGTCAGTAAAATGAGTCAGGTAATAATTCTGTTTGGGTAGTCTTAGACAGTTACATTGGACCCTTTATCTCTAGAAGAAGGGTTTCCATAATTGAGGCACCTAATTTAGGATTACTTACTCCTTTCTTGCCTAGGGAGCCTAGACCCTCAACTTAGGCAGTTAAGTACATCTGGTTAGATGATGTGACTGTCCTTCTAAGTAAAATTAGGAATTGTACTGACTTAAAAATTGTGTCCATTTTAATCTGCAAAGTGTATCTTCATCAACAGTACCCACCAAGCTTTTTGTTTATTGTTGTATTTAGCTGTGGTCTCCTCTCAGCTGCAATAAGTAGGCAATGTTCTGTGCCAGTCCTAATAGAAAATATTTCTTTATCTCTTCTTTCCTCTTTCCACTACATCCTTATCCCTTAAGTCCCTTTTATTGCCTCCCTGTTGTTTGTAATTCTTTCCTGCCCTGGAGCTACTCCTTTCTTTACACCACTGCCAATGTTGGCTGTTCCTGCATCACAACTGGACTGAATAAAACCAGCTGACTTTGCAAAAATGTCTTGGATGACCCTCACAAGGCTGGTAGAAATTATTCACTTGGGCTCTATAGCTTGCTTACACCATGCCCGCATCTTACACTTTAGGAATTAATCTCTTTTTGAGAACCAGAAACCTCTGCTTATATAAGAGAAGCCAAATAATTGAGATACCTAATCGTATTTTTCATTAAAAGCTTCCAGCTTGCTCACTGGCACGTACCTTGGCCTTATGCCTGTCGGAAACAGCGCGGCTCTTCCCGGGAAGTTCTGGATGCCAGCTGTTGAAGACAAAAAAGTGGGGCCCGCTTTTTTTGCATTTGTAGAGCATATTGTGAAGCCACCTGTTGCAGGCTGCAGGGCTCTCTGGCAAATTATGATACATACATTATTCTATAATAGGGCCTAGAAATGGCAAGAGCCTACATCTGCTGGAAAGATAAAATAACAATTCCGTATTTTGCTAGTTAGGAAGTTATTTGTCACAGGGCAGTTTTGCTTGGTTTTCTTGTTATCTGCTTCCAAAATTTTATATATTGATAGAGTTAATGTGCAGCAGGCATTTCATTGCCTGAACAAAGATGATTGTTGAATGGGTTTTGAATGAAGTAGTTTGTATGTTAATAACTCTGGTGTGCTCAGCAATATTTTGAGAGTTTTTGTCTGTAGTTTTCACCAACTTAATGTTAGCATTGGCTTGTAGAAATAAGTTTCTTTGCCTTTTTAATATGACAGCAATTGTGCAAGATTATTCAAGTATTAAATAAATTATCACTGAAAGGAAAAAAAGATGCAGAAATATGTATCTCAATGTGGAAAGAATACATCTGTTAGCATCTCAATGTTATTTCAGAATACATGTGATAATGAATTAATGAATTTCTTAACTTCTTAACTCACCCTAAAATGTAGTCCTCTAAAGTAGAACAAAGTATCTTTCAAAATACAGAAAAGTCAGAGGGAAGATGTCATCATCTATCAATATGAATAAGACATATTTAAGGATAACATGTCATTTTATGGTGCAGGTAAATTGTTATAATAAAAAGAAGCCAACATGGCTTAGAAGAAGAACTTCAAGATGTATGACTGACCCAAATAGTAAGATGCAAAGGGAAAAAATAGCATCAAGGGCCTTAAATAATATGAGTTCTAAACTGACTTGGAACAGTGGTAGGAAGTGCTCTCAGTAGTTATATTCCGAATAGAAAATGGATGTTATTGTTATGTTTTCCCAAGATTGTAAACAAATCACGTCTTTCATAATAAGTTGAAGTGATAGAAACATTAGAGACTGTTGCAGTACATTTTGATAAACTATGAAATTAGAAAGAGATTAAATTTACTATTGCAACAAGAGGACTATTTAGGTTGTTTGTTTAGTATTTATTTCTGATATTAGCAAATAGAATTTACATTTGTATTATTTAAATATATTCTATTTAGATGATATAATTGTATTGAAAATTTTATTACTTATCCAAATTTTGTGGCTTTAGTTTTAGGCTTTTTCTGAGTCATCTACTTTTCATCCTTTTCTGTGGCGGGACATTGATGAATACTTGGATGACAGAGAAACTGAGAAAATATGTTTGTAATTATTGCTGCTTGAATTTCACTGCTTAAAGAACATTAAAGCATTTTTATTGTTCTTAGATTTTTAAACTCCTTTGGGCAAACATAAGTCATTATAAAGAGTGTGTCACAGAAATAGAATGTTTTATCCTGAAATTGATGATTGATATCCATGTTCGTCAATCCCAGAACTAATTTATTTTTATCACTTTTCCCTCCCCCCTAGGAATACCTAGTACAAGTGCAGAAGATGCCGCAGTAGCTAAGAATCTGGGCATTCCTTTCACTGAAGTCATTGAAACATTGCCAAATGGTTTGGAGAAAGTCATTAATTCTGGGGAGGTGGGTAGTATGGAGTTCTTTCCAACTTAGAATAACAATGCAAAGTAAATCTGTTTTCTCAAGAGTGCCAAATAATTTGTATATTTAAAGGCTTTCTTTTATTTTTTAAAAAAACAATCAAGCCAGGCTTATGCCACCAAATTTCTAGGAATAATTTAATGATAAAATATGCTGGCTCTTCTGTAGCAAAGGGTTTTTTTTCTTTTGTGCAGGAAAAGAAGCTATGGTATTGGTCTGAGTTTTATAATGGAAACTGAATAATTGATCCGATGTTAAAAGTTGATCCTTGTTTCATCACCTCAATACATTTTTAAGCTAAATATTAACATATTAGTCCTTTTTACTCATATTCATTGAAACGTGGCATAAACATTTCTGGTAACTTATCTCCCTGAAGTGACACAGAAGTGTCTTGAAAAAATGCGTTTGATAGCAGATAAAAGGTTATATTCTGTTACATAACAGGTAGGGTCTAAGTGGTTAAGATGTATGTGAAAGCAAAAATGGAAAGACCCCAAATGAACATAGTAGAAAGCAAGCTGTTTCCCCATTCACTTTCCCTCAGTCTACCTTGTGTTGGTGATGCTCGAGAAGTTTCAGCATACAGCAGTCCATTGATACAGCAGCAGTAAATGCAAATAGCTGCCAATAAAGGCTGAAGGGGTCTACAGGGCTCTTTCCCAGCCTTGTTCTATTCAGGCCATCAAGAACATTACAAGATTAAGAGGGTTTAAATGAATCAAGTCACTGGTACGTGCATCTTGGATAGAAGGATGTTAAGCAGAGAGAAGGTGAAAATTTACATGAGGGTCATAAACTTTGACTCTCAGAAATTGCATTTGTGACCTTTTTTGTCTGTTCTTGCATTTTCACTGACAGCAAATGCACATATTTTCTTTCTGCTTCTCTCCTTTTTTTTTTTTAATCAGCTCACAGGCATGACTCGGCAGGAGGCTTTGAAAGCTGTTACCCAGCAGGCCAAAAATAAGGGAATAGGTGGAGACCTAACGAGTGACAAATTAAGAGACTGGTTAATATCTCGACAGCGGTACTGGGGGACACCTATTCCGATCATTCACTGCCAGACGTGTGGCACTGTCCCTGTGCCCTATGAAGACTTACCCGTGGTGTTGCCCCACGTAACCACCTTCACGGGAAAGGGAGCCTCACCTTTAGCAACTGCTCCAGAGTGGGTGAACTGTTCCTGCCCGAGGTAAGCCAGTCCTGCATTTCCTGCAGACCAGGAGGCATCGCTTCGTACCTGCCTCTTCCTTGTCCTCTTTGTATTGACAACTGACCACTCTGAGCCAGGATGCTACTCCAGAATGATGTGGAGTATCACCCAATATAAGGGTGGTTTTTTCCTCATATACTCTGTAAAACTCCTTTTTTGCAACACAGACACCCACTGCTATTTTTTCATAGACAAGCTGAAGAAAAGCTCACTGTTTTTAAGTTGGAAAGAAAGAAGGGGAAAGAGAACAATTTTCTCCCTGCCCTTCATTTCTTAGCAGTATTTCTCACTTCATTTACTACAAGAATTTTCATTATCTTTCACCAGCAGAGTTTAAAGCTTATAATGATTATTGAATTATTTCCTTTTGTTAAGGAAACGAACATTGTGTTCATTTTCTTAGCAACAGTCCAACAATAAAGTGTTTCCACAGCTATATAATTCTTTATCGTGAAGAATCCCATTCACTAAATATTAGAGATGACAGCATGTAATTCAGATTGAGAGAGTAAGTCTATGTGTCTTGTCAGTGTTGGAATCTTTATTGTTTGTAGTCCAGCTGTTTAAGAAATAAAACAGTAGTGAGACCTACGTCATGCAAATGAGTTGTCTGATCTTGAGGGCTACTTAGATACTCTGTACACTGCAGTTTGCATACAAGTTCTGCAGAAGAACTGGTGGAACTTGAGTTATCCCAGAGTTTTTCATCAGCACTGCAATGCAATGCTTCTGTTAGCAGACTGACCAGATGGGAGGTATATTTCGAGCCTGCCAGGCAGGGGAATCAGACATATAAGTGACATTAGGGCTCTCATTGATAATGCAGCAGTTTGATTACATCTCACTGTATTTTAACATTTTCAGGGTAGAATATCAGCATGTTCTTCATTTCTAGATTGGTAGCTTATGCACAGCAATTCTCTGGTTCTCTGGGAACATGTATTTTGACCTTTTTTGATAACATGTGTTTTATGTAAAACACACATTTACTTCCATTTTTCTGCATAGAAAATTCTCAGATATGCCTATTTAAATTACATATAGTTAGTGTATTTTAAAGTGTAGCTCTTGCAGGGAACAGTTACTAAACAAAATCCATGGGTTTAGTAAAATCCCTAGAAATGCTTTGGTCTACAATTCCCAATTTCAACTCAAGAATTTTCCCGATGTTACTGAAAGTCACTGTCTGCACCCCTGCCTTCCTCCTGACCTTAATTCAAAAATGATTGTGTTGTTTACCAGGCAACAAGGTACTTTTGATGTATTGCAAATCTCATGGTTTCTGGATAGTTATTGTGGCTGCCCTACTTAGAAGTGAATCAAGGCGTACAGGATTAGTTTCTCAGCCTAAAATATTGTAGTTTGCTGAATTTTATTTTTTTTTTTAATTTTTACCTTTATTTGGCTTCATAATTCTCACCTCTTTGACAGGTGTCTCCACTATTGCTCATCCAAATGTCTGCTACAGTTTCAAATCCTTTGAGCTATTGCCTTTGTGTGTGTCCTCTTCCTTGCTTTTCCTTGCTCTGAGAAATTATGTCATCCCTTCCTTTAGTCCTTCTCTCCAGTAACAGGTTGTTTTCCTTAGTTGCATTTAATATCTAGAATTAATAAGGAAAGCAAGATGGAAAGATACAAAAGTCTGCGAGTATTTGAGAGACAATAAACTGTAAATAATCATAAATGGGAGGAGATGCCCAATTTATTCATTGGTATACAAGTCCAGGTAATTGTGTTAGTTGTCTGAAGATAGTCTAATGAGATTACAGTATTGTGCCTGTTGTATAAATTTTGAAAGATGCCGATGCTGTCTCTGTCTTAGTGAGCCATGTCAATTTAGAGTACAGGCAACATCAGTGGCATGAAGCAGATATAATTATGGTTTAATACCTGTAAAGTATTCTTGCTTTTGGCTGAAAAGCCATTCTGTTTCAATATAATACAGTATTATTTTCCATTGGCCAAGTCTGCTTATATGTACAATGTAATAAAATGGTTGTTCTATATTAAAAAGCAGTTAAGAGTAAAAATTCTTTACTACATTATTTGCATTGAAAGAAAAACTTGCTGGTAGAGAAGGACCTGGGACAGAGACAGAGAGAAGGAAAATGTTAATTGGTGGCGCTTTTCTAAACTTGCCTCTGCAAGCCCCGCTGAATTATCAAGCAGACAGGCAGATACATGTTGCAGCTCAGTTATAAAGCCTGATCACAGACTAAATATGTAGTTGGAAAATATTAAATTGCCAGTGCCCATTTATTATGGATATGTATTACATATTTACATACATTTATAAATTGCATATGTTTGTCACATATAGCCAGTGGTATTTATGCGCAAGTTTGTCACAGGTTGCAAAGTTTTATTTATATTGCAATAATCTCATTTAACAGTAAGAGTTTTAAAGATGGATCATTTACAACAAATGAAAGTTTATTAAAAATGATTATTGGCTCTAACAAACAAATAATTTATATTCAGGGAGAAACTAGCGGAAAGTAACCTGAGCTTCTAAAATGTATTTGAAACCTGTTTTCTCAGGGCTGCCAATATAGGCAAAAATTGATTTGCAGTAATCACAAATTAAAATTGTGCTACAAGGTCTAGAAGAGATTTGCTACATCTCAGTGAAAGCTGAAATTAAACTAAATTCATTTTTTCTAGAGATGATAAATGGATTCTGCAAAGACCTTTTTGTCCAGGCAGTCATAGAGCCAACCACCTGCTCCGTCTGCTGAATGTTTATAAAATGATTTGTCTGCTGGTAGCTAATGAATGTTGAAGTATTGAGTTCCTGTTAACTTTATGGCAAAGTAGACTTGCTTCGTTTCTTTTAAAATGACAATTCTAAAAAATGCCAGGAACATACGATGGAGAAGGCTATCTGGCGTAGTCCTGTCTTCCGCTATTGCTGGAGGTTACAGCTGTTCAGGCTTCTTTTTGGTTTGCATTTTGTTTGGTTTGGGAGGGAGAGGGGAAGAGGGTGGCCCCTGTTACTGTGTTGGCCGCCTTCTGAACATATCCCTCTTCTGACCCGTTTGGTTTTCAATCTAAATATCTTCATGGCCACTCTGTACATTTGCTTTTTTCCCAAGCCTGTCACTTATCTAAAAATAGCTTTTCTTCTTCTCTCTTGCTCAGGTGTAAGGCAGCAGCACGGCGGGAAATCGATACCATGGACACATTTGTTGATTCCTCTTGGTACTACCTGAGGTACACTGACCCTCACAACAGGGACAGGTGAGGGCTGCAGGCACGGGGCTGGGGTGAGTGGCCATGGCACAGGATAGAATCAAAATCATAGAACTGTCTAGGCTGGAAGGGACCTTTGAGACCATTGAGTCCAACCATCAACCTAATACTGCCAAAACCACCTTTAAACCATGGCCCTCAGCATCACATCTACCTGTCTTTGAAATATCTCCAGGGATGGCAATTCCACTGCTTCTCTGGGCAGCCTGTTCCAATGTTTGATAACCCTTTCTGTGAAGAAATTTTTCCTAATGTCCATCCTAAATCTCCCCTGGAGCAACTTGAGGCCATTTCCTCTTGTCCTGTTGCTTGCTACTTGGGAGAAGAGACCAACCCTCACCTCTTTACAGCCTTTCTTCAGGTAGTTGTAGAGAGCAGAAGAAGGGAAGGAAGAAAGAGGCCAGACACTTAGGTGTTTCTGGCTTCTAGCTGCCTTCGCAGAAAGAAGCATAAACCCCTGGGCTGCCCTGATTTTGTGCCTGTCCTCTGGCCTGAGCACAGCACAGGGTAGACTAGGAATTGCCCTAAAAATGTGGTGTTTGGTTGCTCCCATGGCAGGAGATCTACAAGAGCAGAAGGTGTAGAGGTAGCCGTGTAAGCACAGGAGTTACGAGGCAAGGGGCAAGAAGTGTACATGAAAGGTGATTGTGGGGCAAGGCACAGAGGAAATGTTCAGTTGAGGAGCTGAAGATAGTCCTTAGTGGAGGATGCCATCAAGAATGACAGACTACCACGACTCTCTTAGAGACTGTGGTAAGTTGCATGGAGTGTACCCTCCCTGGCAATGCACTGCCTATTTCAGTGTGTGGACAGACAGTGCTTTTCTGACAGTAAGAGGAGGAATAGTCCATGTAACATCCAGCTGCCAAGAACAGCACCTCATTTCTCTCCTTTTGAATTCTGGTAACTCTTGCTGCCTCCTCACACACAGACCTAAAGTGAAGTGGCATCGCAGCAAGCTCCTGCTGTGTCGGCATTTCGACTATATGCAAAATTAATGAAAGGAGATTTTTCATGTTTTTTTACTAGTGGCTGCAGCATGGAGAGGGTGGGATGATAGATGTAATTATTTAGCTGTTTTTCTGCTTCAGAGTCTGCCTGTAGTGGCGCTGCTGATAGCACTGGTTTTTCCAAAGAGCATTTAGTGGAACAGCTCTATTGTGTAGTCTGAGGAAGGTAGAAAGAGTAGCATTTTTTAGACATTGATACGACATGCAGGGCTGTTTGGGGATTTATTTGTTGTCCAGAGCAGTGTCTGTGTAGATAGTACATAGCAAGTGATTCAGTATAGTTGTTTGCTTTTTTTTTTTTGGGACAGGTGAGGGCTGCAGGCACGGGGCTGGGGTGAGTGGCCATGGCACAGGATAGAATCAAAATCATAGAACTGTCTAGGCTGGAAGGGACCTTTGAGACCATTGAGTCCAACCATCAACCTAATACTGCCAAAACCACCTTTAAACCATGGCCCTCAGCATCACATCTACCTGTCTTTGAAATATCTCCAGGGATGGCAATTCCACTGCTTCTCTGGGCAGCCTGTTCCAATGTTTGATAACCCTTTCTGTGAAGAAATTTTTCCTAATGTCCATCCTAAATCTCCCCTGGAGCAACTTGAGGCCATTTCCTCTTGTCCTGTTGCTTGCTACTTGGGAGAAGAGACCAACCCTCACCTCTTTACAGCCTTTCTTCAGGTAGTTGTAGAGAGCAGAAGAAGGGAAGGAAGAAAGAGGCCAGACACTTAGGTGTTTCTGGCTTCTAGCTGCCTTCGCAGAAAGAAGCATAAACCCCTGGGCTGCCCTGATTTTGTGCCTGTCCTCTGGCCTGAGCACAGCACAGGGTAGACTAGGAATTGCCCTAAAAATGTGGTGTTTGGTTGCTCCCATGGCAGGAGATCTACAAGAGCAGAAGGTGTAGAGGTAGCCGTGTAAGCACAGGAGTTACGAGGCAAGGGGCAAGAAGTGTACATGAAAGGTGATTGTGGGGCAAGGCACAGAGGAAATGTTCAGTTGAGGAGCTGAAGATAGTCCTTAGTGGAGGATGCCATCAAGAATGACAGACTACCACGACTCTCTTAGAGACTGTGGTAAGTTGCATGGAGTGTACCCTCCCTGGCAATGCACTGCCTATTTCAGTGTGTGGACAGACAGTGCTTTTCTGACAGTAAGAGGAGGAATAGTCCATGTAACATCCAGCTGCCAAGAACAGCACCTCATTTCTCTCCTTTTGAATTCTGGTAACTCTTGCTGCCTCCTCACACACAGACCTAAAGTGAAGTGGCATCGCAGCAAGCTCCTGCTGTGTCGGCATTTCGACTATATGCAAAATTAATGAAAGGAGATTTTTCATGTTTTTTTACTAGTGGCTGCAGCATGGAGAGGGTGGGATGATAGATGTAATTATTTAGCTGTTTTTCTGCTTCAGAGTCTGCCTGTAGTGGCGCTGCTGATAGCACTGGTTTTTCCAAAGAGCATTTAGTGGAACAGCTCTATTGTGTAGTCTGAGGAAGGTAGAAAGAGTAGCATTTTTTAGACATTGATACGACATGCAGGGCTGTTTGGGGATTTATTTGTTGTCCAGAGCAGTGTCTGTGTAGATAGTACATAGCAAGTGATTCAGTATAGTTGTTTGCTTTTTTTTTTTTTATATTGGCAGCACCAGTTTAGTTCAACTAAAGAAATATTTCTGTGGGCACTTTTATTTCACAATAATTTTAATTATTTTTGAGTGACGCTGTGAATTTATTATTAATATTACTAAGTTATGCAGACTGCTTCCTCCCCGGTGATGGTTTAAAATTTTTTTTGTGCTTGGAGAAAGAAGTGCTTTTCCAGAAGTTGAAGATGAAATAGGCAGATGTAACATCCAGCTGTTGAAGTAACACTTCAGTGTAGCTAAATCTGTTTTATATTGAAATATCATTTTTATGGACTTCTGCACTAGATTGCTACCTCCATTTGATTTATTTATTTGTGGTTTTTTAGCTAAGCTGGGTGTACGAAACCCTTTATTTCTGTAAGTCATATTTCACTGGTCTAGAATTTGGGAGAATTGCTCTGTTGATTTGGGAACCCTGTGAACAAGTTAGTTTTGATTTGTTCCACTAAAGACCTGAGTCTCAGATACACGATTTGCTTCCGAGCTCACCTGTGAGGAAAAAAGTGTTACTATTACAGAAAATACAGATGGAATAATCAAACAAGCTGAAAAAACAGGTAAATTTGATAGAATGGGTCCATAAAACATACATTAAAGAAGAACATACGTACAAATGGTATTTTGAAGGCAGGAGCCTATTACAAGAGCAGTAAGCAGTACTAGGAAACCATGCACTCCAACGACATGGTAAATATGCTCTAAATGACAAATTTACTGTAAATTCATAGAACATCCTTCCGTTGGAGTACAGCGACCCATCTGACTCTTCAAAATGTTTTGCAACCTGACGGTAAACTGCTTCATTGCCCCCTAATGGCAACAATGCAAACTTCCAAGTAAAAAAAAAAAATGAACTGTTTTTAGTGGGCATGTCTTTTGTCTTTCACTGTAATATATTTCTATGTAAAACCTGATAAATACTAAAAAATTTAAAAGTAGCCACAGGGTATTTATGAAAAAATAATTTAAAGAGCAAGCAAATATTTTCATGACTTTCTCAAGTATCGTATGTGTAATCTTGGTTGCTTCCCTAAAATATAGGAAAATAATATTTTTGTGGATCTGCTTTTCAGAGGCAATTAAAATTTTGTCTGTAATTTAATAAGCATGTTACTTCTTAAAAATTAAAGAGATCTGATAGCGAAAGTTTTATTACACATGTATAGCTCTCAGTAAATAGTGGTGTCTAAGTCAAGTACGATGAGCTACTTTAGAAAAGCTAATCTTTCTTTTTTGTGCTGTATTTTTTCCATAATTGTGTTTTTTCAGGCCCTTTAATAATGACTTAGCAGACTACTGGATGCCTGTGGATTTGTACATCGGAGGAAAGGAGCATGCAGTTATGCACTTATTCTATGCGAGGTTTTTCAGCCATTTTTGCCATGACCTAAAGATGACAAAACACAAGTAAGCCTTATATATTTCTGTAAAAATCTTTCATATTTCATTTGACTAGCAAGAGTGTTAGTGGACATTGTTATCATGATAGAACATTGTATTGAGTAAGCCTGAATTTTCCTGCTTGTCAGTCTTGGCTAACTACTTAGTTTCTCACAGTCAGATGCATTTTCTGTATGCATACATACATAGCATTTTAATTACATGAGTATTAACTGGCTCAGAGCAAGTGATAAAATGTTGCTGTAGATTTTTCAGCCTGCAAAAGCTTGCATAAACTAGTAACTTCAGGCATCCTGAGTAGTGCTGTTATTTCAAAACAGGTAACTTCATGCACAGTCATACTGCTAGTTTCAGTGGAACTGTGCATATTTAGAAAAATCAGCACCCCTATAATTCACTGCAGTATTGGAGCTGAACAGTGCAAAGCAGTTCTTGATGAGCAAAAGCAGTATATGTATCTGCTGTCAGTTTATTTTTTATTTAATGACTTATATTAAAGTCATTAATATAATTCCTTTTAACTACTCTTGTTGCTGATGCTGCTATAGCCTAATTCATTGTCCTCTGTTTTGGCTAAAGGTAAAGTTTGAGGCAGGAAGGTGAGCCATCTGATGTTCTATTCTTTGTCCTCTCAGGTTCCCAGCTTCTCATCCCCATTCCCACTGAATTTTTTTTTACCCTAAAATGTCATCACAAGAATGGCTCACAGGGAGGATTACTGGTGTGAGAACGGTGAAATACTGCCCCTTGCTCTGTCCAGTTCTGTCATCAGCAAAGACATTTGAATAGGTTGAGTCAAAATGAGAGCAGCTGCTCAGTAATTTCTCATCTGGAAACTCCTATGCATTCATTCCTTACTAGTATCCACTCTAAAAGCTTGATGTAAAGGAGGAACCTACATACACATGGCATTGAACTCTTGAATGCAGCAGTTTTATTACAAAACTATAACTTAAATAGCTGTGCGCCAGAAAAAATGGGTTAGTGGAGCCAGCAGACTAGTTCCCTGTTGTTTCACAATCATTTGATGAAAACAGGCAGTGCATTTTCATCACTCATTCTTGCCTGCAAAATAGTTTGCAGTGAAAGCTGTATCTGAGATTTTGGATGTGGGTGATTTGTGTACCTGTGTTTCACCCTGTTGTCTCCAGGTTCCACAGCTGCAGCAGGAGGGCTGTTCCTTCTCTGAGGGCGTGGGCATCTCAAAGCAGACCCTTCCTGTCATAGGCACGATTCCTTTAAGCAGAGGATTTCAGAGATTTTCCTTGCAAGCAATTTCAGGCTTGTCAGTTCTACAAAAGACTTTGCAATCCTGTCAGCCATCTAGTGGAGCTGTAATGCACAGCAGCAAAATGTTCTTTTGATAGTCAAATTCCTCCACCTCCCAAACCAACGTTAACTATGGTGGCTGAAGTACTATTACTGTAAACTGAGATCACAAAGATCACAAGGGGAGGTTTGCTTGAAAAGTGAACAATCCACTCTGGTGTGCAAGAAAATGAGGAGGGGTGGAGGCTGGCTGAAAAGGGACCTCCTGGTTGAGCTCAAGCACTAAAACAAGTGCAGGGAAAGGGGAAGCAAGGATGGATTACCCCTGGAAGAGTGTGGAAGCATTAACTGGAAGCATAGAATTAGAAAAGGCCACAGCTCATCTAGAATTGAAGCTGGGGAAGAATATGAAGGCAGTGAGAATGACTTCTGCAGATATATTGACAGGAACATCAAGGAAAATGTTTGCCAGATACAAAATCAGACAAAGAGCCTGGTAGCAAAGGAGAATTTTTGCCATGGCCTTTGCTGTCAAGGTTTGTGCTTAGTAGGAGAACTTGAGAGAGAGAGGTACTACCCACTATAGAGCAGGATTGAGTTAGGGATCACTTAAGTAAACCAGGCATGTACAAGTTTATGGGACCAAAGGGATGTGTCCAAGGGTGCTGAAGGTACCTGGCCTTCACCATCGTGACCTGGCCTTTACCATCGTGAGGCTGCTGTCAATTGTTTTTCAAAGGTCATGGTGATCAGGGGATGTCCCTGTTAATTGGAGAAAGGGAGAAGCCAAACTCATCTTCAAGAATTGGCAAAGGGGAGTACTTATAGGCCAGTCAGCCTCATATTGGTCCCCAGTAATATTTTAAATCAAATAATCCTGGTAGTAATTTTCAGGCAAATGAGAGACAAGGTGACTGGGAGTAGCCACTATGGATTTACTGAGAAATTATGCCCTGCTTCATCTGCTTTCTTTTCCTGGTGAGATGATGTCTCTGTGGATAAGGAGAGAGCTGTGCATAGAGACTGGCAGCTGTTTGTGAGTGGTGTTTCTCAGGAGTCACTGCTGAGACCGATTGTATTTAACATCTTCATCAACAACCTGGGCAGTGCGACAAAGCGCACCCTCAGCAAGTTCATTGCACACTGGGGGAAGCTATGGATATTCTCAGTGGCATGGCTGCAGCACAAAGGACTGTGACAAGTTGGAGGAGCAAATTGCACCCTCAGCAAGTTCATTGCACATGGGGGAAGCTATGGATATTCTCAATGGCATGGCTGCAGCGCAAAGGACTGTGACAAGTTGGAGGAGCAAATCTGAAGCGTCGACAGGAATCTCACGAAGTTCAACAAAGGGAAATGCAGAGTCCTGTACATGGAGAAGATTACCCATGGAAACAGACAGGGCTCACTGTGTGAGGAGCATCAACAGGAATCTTATGAAGTTCAAAAAGGGAAATGCAGAGTCCTGTCCACGGAGATTACCCACAGATTACCCACGGAAACAGACAGGGCTGGGCTCACTGTGTGAGGAGCAGCACAACACAGCAGGGCTACAGGGGTTTTGGTGAACATCAAGTGAGATGGGAGTCAGCAGTAGGCCTGAGAGTATACTGCACTACATTAGCAAAAACATATCCACCTTTGATTATCTCTCCTCATCACTCAGGATGCCATATCTGGAATACTGTGTCCAGTTTTGAGGCCCACCCCCCCACCCCCCCCAGCATGTGAGACTTTATCAGACTGGGGAGGGTGCAGTGGAGGGGCACTAAGATGGTCAGGGGATGAAGCTTGTATCATACAAGGAGAGGTGAAAGGAGTTGAGTGTGTTCACCCTGGAGAAGGCTAAGGAAGGAGTGTAATCTCAGTCTACCACAGGAGGATTATAGAACCAGACTCTTCTCAGAGATGTACAGAGAAAGGAGGAAAATAATAGTCACAGATTGCATCAAAGTGCAACTGGATAGAAGGAAAATAATTTTGACGGTGAAGGTGGTCAGACTTGGAACAGTTTGACCTGAGAGGTTGTGGGACCTCCATCACTGGGTATTTTCAAAATTCAGCTGGATGAGAACCTGAGCAACCTGAAGTTAGGTCTGCTGTGAAAAAGGGGCTGGACCAAATCACCTCCAAAAGTCCCTTCCAACCTACATTATTCTAAGATTCTCTGATTCTCTAGCTGTATGAATTTGAAATCTGTTTTATTCATAGTCTGGTGTAACAGGACTAGCACCAAAGTACTGTGCCTGGAGTGGTCTAAATACGGTAAATTGCAGAAAAAACCTCTTAATTGAAAAAAAAAAAAGCTCCAGAAGCACTAAGGATGTTTAGTGACAACACCAGAGAAAACAAAAAAATGCTCTCTGTAGAAGTAGTTTACAAGACTGTGAAGAATTCCTTTGAGGCCACATACAATCTGAAGAACTGTTGCACGTGTGAAGACATGTTACAGCATTGCCCCTCGGGTCTGCTGTTTGTACGGCTTATACCTGTGCTCAGGATGCAAGAGGACTGTAACAAATTAATCATCATGCGCAAAATTGTTTGCTTGCTTTAGCTCTACACGCTTACAGCATTAGGTGCTTTTAAGGCATGAAGTCAAATTAGGATTTTGTTTTGATGTGGAAATCTCAACTGCTTTATAAATATTGCCATGTATCTTAAATACATTTTAGTATTGGTCAGAAGCTGCTTTTGCTCAGTCTTCTGTTGGGACTGCTCAAGGGCTGGTCTGAGAAATCTGAAAAGGGTGATTAGAAGCAACAAGCTTATTTTTAGGAAGCTTGAAGTCATGGTGTCGAAGCCCACAGCTCCAAGGGGAAACATTAAAATGTTAAAAAACTCTGCCCTCTTGTGCATTTTCAGTCTTCCTCTAGTAGTCTAGATCTTGTTCGCTGATTAAAGTAGTAAAATTCTGCTACATCTCAGTTAATGAGAGCTGCCACCATTTAAAATGCTATCTAGTATCCTGACAAATTTTTCTGATTCTCCTATTAATCTGTTGTAATTTTTCATTTTGATGGGTTTTCTTCATGGAAATTTTCATTGTTTTGTTTCTATCTGCTTCCAAATCCGTTGAAGTATTTCCCGATAGTCTTTAATTCTATACTAATGGCTATTGATATAATAATGAGGTTGAAAACAGAAGTTTAAAATTTCACGGTTTAGATTTTCAAAGCAATCTCTTTACATGTGATGTACATTATTACAAGAGAAATATTATTTACATTCATTTACAGATTACATACATACATTTACAGATGTAACACATGCTTTGATAGAAGATGCAATGTTTATAGGCATCTAAAATTGTAAAGGTGTCAATATAGTTTAAATATCCCCTGAAGGTGGGGCATGATCTTTCATTTTATTTCTTTTTAATGCCTTCAACTGTAGATGGTGGGAAGTGCTTTTTTTTTTGATGCCTTCAACTGTAGATGGTGGGAAGTGCTACTCATTTCCACAGTAATGACAAGGCAGAATAAATAGCACCCTCTGGGTATTGGTACACGTGACAACAGATTAAGCTGAAATTGATGTCATTTTGTTCTAGCGCTCTGGTGGGTAAAGCACATTGGTTCTGGAATTAAACTCACAAGCCAGTCCGTCCTCCCAGCCGTTGGCAGCTGGGGCCAGCAACCTCCTCATCCCTTCCAGCTTAATCCACCGTGGCGAGTGTGTGCTGACACACTCGGTTACACCTGCTCAACTGTATTATCATTAGCTGTACAAGTTGCACAGAATTTGGCTCTTCCCTCGACTTCAGTAATCAGTTCTGCCTGATGGATAATTGTCAATGGAATCTAGCACGCTCCGAAGGATTATAAAGCAATAAAAAAGTTTATTGTTGCCATTTAGTCAGCAGATTTGACTGTAAGAGAGAGCAAATCTGTTGAGTAGGAAGACGCTATTTATACGTCGCTGTATTACACAATAAATATGTGTGTGACAGAAATAGCTTATTCTGTAAAGGAAGGATGCTAGAGCTTCTCTACATTCATTAGGGACTTTATCACTAGTTTTGATTTTGAGTAAAAGCACTCAGCCTTTGTGTAAAATCACATTCAATATTGTTTGATCTTTTTTCTGCCTAAAATGATCAGCTCCCACATCCCCCAATCGCTTCTGGCCTTCTAACAGGATTGCCAGATTGTGACAGATAAGTCTGACAGCACCAGAACTCACCTGACAGTGACTGACCAAGGTCTTGTCTGGACTCTAGGGCAGAGCGATGGGCTCTCTCAGCCTTTCTAGAAGTTTGGGAGGCAACATCTGGGTAGTCAAGCAGCCAAGAAACACATCGCCTGCTTTGGAGATGGGTTTAGTTGTGTGGTTTTATTAATGTAAATGAAAGTGTAACTTTACATGTGACCATGAGATGGAGCCACCACGACACTGGCAGAATCACTGCACATCAGGAGAAATTCAGTACAGAGCTCAATTTGTTTCTGAGCCCTGTGTTTGTTAGGCAGGCTCTGGTTTTCTCATTTTGGGCATGTTTCTATTCTCTTGCGGTCTCCCACTAGGAAGGCGTGGGGTTTTCTTTCCCCATACTTGGTAATGTATGTTGTATTGCATTTTTGTAGCCTCTGTCAGCATAAACAAAAATAGGAAATGCTCATTCCTGCATTCAGCTTTTAATAACTTGGCATATGATCTAAACTAACTCTTTGTCATTAAAAATAAGTGTTCCTTGAAAAATCACTTCCAGTGGAGAGCCCTATCTGATTTTGATGTTCTGGCTACCTCATTAGCTTTATTTTAGATAGCTGCAAGTGTAGCTATTTTAATAACTGTTTGAGATCTTAACCAGACTGAACTCTGAATGATAGGAGGAAATTTTTTTTTTTATTTTTCTTTGGTGTAATGTCTTTAGTTTGTAGAGGAAACTTATCCTGAACAGTTTTCTCCTGGAGCATTTATGCAGCATTTGTTGATGATAGGATTACAAGGGTTTTGTTCAAGATTTTCATCTTCTAATTCACTTGGATAATTTGAGATAATTATTTGAGATTTTAGATAATTATTACCTTCTATTTTTAGCATACATTTTCTTGTTTTTACTGTCTGAATTTGATTTCAATTGTCTTCAGTTGTCTTCTCTATAAGTTCTTTTAATTTATTTCTAAACAACAGGGTTTTTCAGGCCATCTACAAAATATTGTTTGGATAAATATTTCTAGAGGTGCTTGAATTGCTACTCTGACTTATTATCGTTGATTAAAGCAGGTGGCATGGTAGAGACTAGTGCTGCCTGGTGACTGAATGGTAGACTATGTGGCAGTACTTGCACAATATTTAGAAGTATACAAATTATGCATGTGTTCAAATATGAATACGTTGAAGATGAAGTATAGAGCCTGTCACTTTCTCTCTTATGGTTTAAAGCTTTTCTTTCAAATATCCCTTCACTTCAGAGTCATCAAAAAGGTTTAAAGAGTAGTACTTGGAAGATATCTGCTTTAATACAGTTAAAACATACATAATTGTTATATAATTTAATAATACTGTAACTATATTATTAAATAAATTACAGTGGTTTAAATAATGGGATAAATTCTCATATAATTTATATTGCCTAATAATGTAAAATACTAAAATGACTTTGTAAAAGTGAGTAGTGGTTTGGATTAGGATTTTCTTGTACGTGTGAAGTAAAATGTGGAAGCCTAGAACTATGTATTTGTAAGACAATGAGGCCAGCTACTTGGCCGCTTTTATACATGGGAATTTAGCTTGAAGTTAGTGAAATTTCACTGTTCGCCAGGAAAATTTTGTGTATTATCCATATGCTAATTTGAAAAGTGACATTAGAATAACTCAGTACTAAATCAGGATGCAAGAATGTGTGCAGAATACAAATAAATACACTTGTCAGCCAGTCACCATGACTAAATGCACAAAGTACTCTTTCTAAGGTGACAACCAGTTAAGTATAGTCAACTTGAAATTCTTGTTTCATTAAATAATTGTGGCTGATTGGCTCAACACCTGGGGCTTATCATAAAGTATGCTTTTCACAGCTCTTTTCAACGGACAAGTTTCTTTCTCTTTCCATCCTTAGGGAGCCTTTTCATAAGCTTTTGGTTCAAGGTATTATCAAGAATCAGACGTTCAGGCTAACAACAACAGGCCAGTGTCTGAAGAGGGAGGAGGTTGATCTTACTGGTAAGAGAGACTGTGGGGGAAAATCAGCATCGGTGCATCCAGCAAGTCAGGGACTGCTTTGGTGTGCAAGTCTCAATGCTGGGAAAATCTGGAAGAGAAAACCAATTCCTGTAATATTTAAACTGGAGAGCAATTTCTATGAGTCTTGAATTCATATGCACTGCTGAGGGCACAAAGACCCTACTAATCCAGCAGCTTTTAATTGCATCCAAACACAGAAACAGTGCTATAGTAGTATTTTAGCTCCAGTACAGTCCAAAAGATCAGAAGTCAGTTGTGTTAAGACACTGCTGAGCAGCTTGCTGAACGGAGCTAGTAGTCCCAGCAAACAGACAACCTACAAAAACATCATGGCAAAGCTAACACAGATGCTGGTGTGTTCAGTAGATATTAGGAATGTAAAACTTTTATCGGAAAAAGTGATTTTTCTCAAGTTCTGTCTAGTGCCTTCACTGCATAAGCTGGAGCAGCAAGTCCTGGCTTGGAGACCTGTACCAACAAGAATGGTTTGGCCATATTTGCCTCCTTTCAGCACTCCTTGCACAAAACCTCATTTTCACTGTTCTCCTGCATAAAAACTCCATAAGTCTGTTAAAAAACAAACAAGCAAGCAAATCTCCTTATGTTTACCGCTGTCTGCTATCCTATTTTCTTCCAGAAAAACTAGGGCTTTTCTGTAGCAGGGTGTTTTGCTCGATGGCACTGATAAGTATAAACGCCCCTTTCCAGCTCTAAATTCATGCAACAGAAGGCACGTTCTTGTCAGGATAACTAACTGCAATTGAAAGCTGTAAATCTGTAAAGCTAAGTGCAGGTCAGAATTGTGCCAAATCAGTACACCTATCTAGGAGGTTTTAAATGTCATGGTTATAAGAATGCTTAAATCTCAGGGGGTATCAAAGTAGCACGTACTGTGAGTGCCAGATACAGCTTCCAAATGGTAGAAGCAGCATTTCTGTCATGATGTAATGGAAGTACTTGAATATTAGTTGTGTTAAAACATTAAAGTAGGAAAAAAAATGGGAGGAAAGAGGGTTTTTACAATGGGAGTTTTTTCTTTTTAAGCTGTTTGGAAACCAAAATACCCCATTAGAAATAGTTGGGGTTTTTTTTCTTATGCTTAGGGAACAAAACTAATTGCTGTTACAAATGAGCAAAATTTGGTTTAATGTTTTGCGTATGTCTTCATATTTAGGAACTGAACCAGTTCACGTAAAAACTGGTGAGAAGCTCCAAGTTGCTTGGGAAAAAATGAGCAAATCTAAGCACAATGGAATAGACCCTGAAGAATTAGTGAAAGAGTATGGCATTGACACCCTACGTCTTTACATTCTGTTTGCTGCTCCTCCAGAACAAGATATTTTGTGGGATGCTAAGAGTAAGTTGGATTGTTTCTGTTGTTTGCTTTGTGTTTGGTTGTTTGTTTTTTTTTCTAGTGTGTTACAAAATTAATACAGTTCTTGATGCTGAAGTTTTGAAACAATTAAATCAAAAAAAGTATAACGAGCAGGGTGGGGGTTTTTTTGTTTCTTTTAAAAGAGAGGTGGTCGCAAAGCTGTCTGAGAGGCAGACTTGCGAGATTATTTCAAGCTGCTTACCTCGTACGAGCTGAAAGCATGTGAGGAAAATACTTCTTAAGTAGTGTTTTCTTCCACAAACCTGGACCTCAGTCTCTTATTTTTTATTAGCTACAATTGATGATGGAAAATGATTGTTTTATTTTGTTGATCATAATTTTTTAAAAAATCGTATCAGTTTACAGATAAAACTTTGCAATTTTTTTTTATTTCCATTTTTTTACACATGTATGCAATGGCTTTTGTAAGCAGGGCCATAAAATACTTCTTAGAAGAATCTCATAAGAAGATAATCAGAGTTCCTAGTAATTAGTTATTGCACTCTCATGACATTTTTATGAGCTTAGTTCTTGAAAAAGATAAGATTTACCCTCCTACACACTTATTTACTGCCATCATGCAGTTTGTCATACTGACAGATACTGATTTATCTACTGTGGTTCATACATTTTAATGTAGTCTTATGGATACGTTTAAATCTAGCCCTCTTGTTGCATTAGGCTTTAATAAAACTCTCCGTGTCTGATTTAAAAACGTATATTTCTTCATTCTTTCTCGTGTTAGCTTGTTGCTACTTAGTTCAGCCTGCACTAAGCCTTTGGTGTCGGTCACCCTTTAAATTCATATGTGTTTAGTTACATATTATGGCACTGATGTATGTACTGGAGGAGTGTGCTTTGGCTTTCTGTCATCATCTGATCAGAACAGTACAGAGTACGTACGTGAAGAGGTAATCTCTCTTAAAAACCCCAAACACTCAGAATCAAGCTGTAATTCCCACATCCCTAACAGCACACAGGTACATAATTCCCTCTGGAGCAGCTAATTCAGTGATACACAGTCTTTTTGCTGTATTTAAAATACAGGTGGGGTTTTTTTAAAATGTTTTACTCTAGTGTTCAGTTTCCTGTTTGCTCTCCTTTCAAGTTTTGGATTCATTCGTTGTAACTGGAATTTGTTTCTTCAATCTTTGGTTAATCTCAGCTGATGCTATGCCTGGTGTTCAGAGATGGCAGACGCGCCTCTGGACACTTGTGTCCAAACTTATTGAAGCAAGGACTTCAGGAACTGTACCCAATCCTGAGCTTCTGAGTAAGAAAGAGAAGGCTGAAGCCAGAAAGATCTGGGAACAGAAGAATCTGGTGATATCTGAGGTTAGACACATAGTTTGTAAATTACTAAATAAATTGCTGCTCATGCTAAAACTGTATGCTTGACTTAGAGAGCCAAAAGTTTTTTTCCCCTGATGAGTGGCTCATAAAATAATTTTTAAGTGAATTATTTTCTGTACAAGTAATTGTGTTTACTAATTGTGTTTACCTAAAAATCTTGTGGGACACAAGTCTTGCAAAATAGTAAGATTGGCAAAATTTCACTGCTGTGTGGCTCCTTCAAAGGATGAAGTGTTTTGTCATTATAATATTATCAGTCTGGGTTTGGAGTAACTCCATTTCCAGTAGCAAAGCTATAGGTGAGTTATGCAGGTTATCCCTAACAAGAGCTTTTCATCTGTTGGCTTCACACCTCATTTTCATGCCTGCTGTTTCATATCAAATGACAAAAAGTTGTTGGAGAAAATAGATTAGTGTATCCTAAAAAAAAAAAGTTATTGAAATGATTGTTCATCTCCTCTTACATGATGTCTCCTGCTGTGATTAGTGTGAATTCAATTATCGGGAGACATAAATACCTGCAAAATTAACTTAAAATATTTTTCTACTGATAAAAACTTTTCCTGATTTAAATCCTGTGGTGAGGAACCTTCCAAATATTTTAACAGAGTAACAAAAAGTTGTTGGAGAAAATATATTAGTGTATCCTAAAAAAAAGTTATTGAAATGATTGTTCATCTCCTCTTACATGATGTCTCCTGCTGTGATTAGTGTGAATTCAATTATCGGGAGACATAAATACCTGCAAAATTAACTTAAAATATTTTTCTACTGATAAAAACTTTTCCTGATTTAAATCCTGTGGTGAGGAACCTTCCAAATGTTTTAACAGACATTAGAATTACAATTTTGCTATAGATGGACAAGCTGTCAACAGCATAACTGGATTTACAAGTATGAAGGCCTCCTGTAGGGGCAAAGAGAAGATATTTTGTGAAAGAAAATAGTGATTACTAATACACAGTTTTAATTGGCACGATTTTAAGCTTTTAAAATCCTGAAACAGAGGGAGAGCAAGTCAACTGAATTGTTATATGATTATTATTTTCCCATGTACACATGTGGTTGCATATATTATGTGTTTGCATGCCAAAGTGATTTTCATGTAAGAGGTAAGGTACTCCATGTTTGAGAATTTTACATAATTAGTGACAAACCTTTTCTTTTAATACAAGGTAACAGAGTGCTTCACAAAGGATCATTTGTTCAACGCGGCTATTTCGCGATTGATGAGCCTCAGTAACGTACTCCATGTAAGTATGTCATAGGAATGAAGGTATTTTTTCTGCCATACCCTGTTCCTGTAAGTTTTTATACAAAGCAAGAACTGCCCAAATTATATGCCCAGTGTTCCATTCCTACTAACTTGAGAGAGTTGGGTGTGATTATTTAGTTCAAAAGCAGCATGTTCTAGTCTCACTGTAACCATGAAATGGGTTGCAGGATGAGCTTGATGATCGTATTAGAGCCACTAGGTTCTGATGTTAATGCCTGTAGCCTGTAATTTCAAAGAATACATTTTATTTAGCTCTTCTCTTTTTTTTTTTTTTTAACTGAAATGTGTTGCAGGATGAGCTTGAGGATCATATTAGAGCCACTAGGTTCTGATGTTAACGTCTGTAGCCTGTAATTTTAAAAAAATACATTTTATTTAGCTCTTTCTTCTCTTTTTTTTTTTTTTTTTTTGGGTGTGATTATTTAGTTCAAAAGCAGCATGTTCTAGTCTCACTGTAACCATGAAATGGGTTGCAGGATGAGCTTGATGATCGTATTAGAGCCACTAGGTTCTGATGTTAATGCCTGTAGCCTGTAATTTCAAAGAATACATTTTATTTAGCTCTTCTCTTTTTTTTTTTTTTTAAACAAATTGCATAGGTAGCTAGGTATAGCAGTACATTGTAGAATTATCAAACATGCTGATTTAAAGAAAAGGATTGTTCTTTACAAGGAAAATTGCACATAATCTTACATTCCTCAGAGACAGCTTTCATCACTGAGCTGTCTGCTAGTAGTGAAGTTTGCAAATTCCCCTTTTTAAAATAAGCGTAAAAATAACTTCAGTCTTTAGCATTTTTTATTCGGATTGTTGTCCATCAGCCAGTGGTAGTAGATCAAATATAATAAATTCTTACATTCATTTTTGTTACTGCTCTTAGATCTGGTTGAGCATTCTTTCAGACATGTAATGGTAACATGATCTAGACCAGAAATCAAATAAAAATTTGGGGGTTCTATCTTTGTGGAAATACCATTTTATGCCTTATGGAATCCAAGGAGATTATTGGCAAAATCAAGGAACTTAATGAAAAGTTAATTAGGGCGTGCACAAGTGCTATACTGAAATAACATGTCTGGGGCCCTGCGTGGTGCTGGGAAGGTGACACACATTTCTTTATCTCCAGCTCAGTGATTCATATGCACTTTGGGCTGGTGGGTGGTGATAAGTGAATGTTAAAAAGTAAATAAAGAAATAAAAATCAGTGACCTATGGACAGCCAAATATTTGACCACTGACATATTTCGTGACCAAAGAAGTCAGTGCAATATCTTTCAAGAGCAAGTTTCCGTAGCGTGTGGGGACACTTCTTCTTTTGGTCCCATTCGAAAGGAGGAAGTGGGGAGGTTGGTGGAGATTAAATATATAAAACAGGTAGTAGTTACTAAAACTTCCTCAAGTCTAGTTTGCACTGATGTCATCAGCATCAGTGATAAGAAGATGTCATCTGGCAACATATGTGATCTGTGTGAAACAAATCACTGGGGTTGGACAGGTGGGATGCGAATGGGTGTTCGTTACACCCACCAAATTCTCATAAGTATTGACATTTTTCTGTGCTCTTTCATTAGAGAGGCAAATTACGAAATTAATCAAATTTACCATGGAATGTAATCTCTCTGAGTCAGAGCAGGCAAAGAAAGAAAAAGTTTATTTGGCTATTTTTAATGCTGTATCTTTTCTGTTAAGATACAATAAATAGAGGAATGAACATTCAATTTTGTCAGTCTAGCAGTTTTTGCAAGAAATTAAAATTTTTTGTACTAGAGAAGGTGCACGCTTTACTAAAGCAATCTGTAAAAGGTTGTGCTGTGCTTTTCATCCCCAAACCTTCCTTCAGCTCTAAAACCTTACTTCATTACTAAATTCAGCTTTACTTAAGCCACTCTAGGATTCTGCACAATTGAACCTTGTCCTGACAAAAACCATGCTGCATTCAGCACAGTTTGACTCTATACAATTATTTCACCTCTTCTCAGATAGCACTGATTTTACTTAAGATTGCACTTCTAGGTTTTATCTAAGATTTCACTTCTGGAAGTGGCAGCACACAAAATGGTTTTGATGGCCACAGTTGTCCACGTGGTCTGTGTTCAGACTCCCAGACCAGCGCAGATCCCCAAGGGCTGGCATCAGCCTTTTTGGGATTAGCTTCCAAGTGTTGGAGAGCACTCTGACCAACAGCTGCAAATTTGGTTCTCCAGAACTTAATTCCCAAGTTCCTAACTTGTTTTGAAATTATGCTGTCCTGAGCATAGACATTGATTTTAGGGTTTATTACTGCATTTTTTTTCTTAATTAAACTACCACGCCACCCCAGAATATTTATACTAACCATTGATTTTTCTTTTTCTTCTGTCTTCATGCTTAGCAAGCCTCTCGGCCTCTTATTCTCCACAGCACAGAATTTGAAGATGCTTTGGCTACACTCTGCATCATGGTTGCACCCATGGCTCCACACATTGCATCAGAGATGTGGAAAGGTATTTCTAGAAGGATATTTTTTATTGATGTTGCAGAAAAAAAGGCAAAAATTTAACATAATACATGTGTCACTTATCCCTCAATTCTGCATCTTGTCACCTTCTGTCGTAGCTCCTAAACAAACTTGGAACTTGTGGTGTTCCCAGAGCTGTCTGCTTTTAGTTTATTTCTCTTTGCATACAAAGGTGGGTTTCTTGAGACGAGGCACAGAAGGGGAGAAGTAAAAAAAAAATTCAAGACAGGACTTGCATGAGGAATTAATGTGTCAGCTGCTAGCTGCTCCTGTGTGTCAAGTATTAAAAGCTGAACCTGAGACTAGAAACAGCCCTTCTTCAAACAACTGTTACAGAGTCTATGGACTACAAATATTTTCCTTCAGGAATTCAGGTAGAGAGGACCATGTCAGAAAGCTGTATATTAGCAATACTAAAGGAGTGTTCAATAAAAACCCTAATCATATAAAATTCTCCAGAGACTGAGGGATGTTACACTGCAAATTAACCTTGTGTGGAGAATGGGAATGGTAGACAGGAAATCTTTTTTAAGATCTGTCACAGCTGTAAGCCTTGAGCTCTGAATCCAAAGTGGGCTGAGTTGTGTGGTGCAGCTACAGTTGGAGCCTGTGAAATAAGGGATGTGCATGCCAGAGTTCACCACTTGTTTTTAAGGTTTATTGGGGGAAGTCCCAAGACGTATGTGGGAAGGTAGGAATATATTCTGCATTAAGACTGGCCACAAATTGCTATGTGGTTGGGGACCTAGTGTTAGCTTTTGGATGCTGTTTTAACAATTTCATTTTCAACAGTTATCCTAAAACTTTTCTGCATTCAAGTGTTTACAGAGCAGAGCTACTTAATAGCTTGTATTTGAGAGCTGTGCATGGCCCTGTAATAATGGTAACTGCCAAAGAAAGGCTGCTCTTGTTTGGAGCAATAACACAGGGCCAGGGACTCTGGAAAAGGCAAGATCCATTAGGGAGAGCGGGGTTTTTCTGTGTTTTCATTTCCAATGTTCTTAAGATGTCTTAATAAAAGCTTAGTTGTTTAGAATAAAGAGTGGCATCAGACATGATCCATCTGGAGAAAGCTACTTCTGGTCAATATTCACTTACAATATGAAGTACCATCAATTAAAATTATACTTAAATGGAAGTAATTGCCATGACTTTGTTTTCCCCACTGGTTGAGATGGAGGCAGAATGGGTCAAAGCCAATTACACACACAGTGCCTTGTGAACCTGAAATTCAACTACATGTTAGGGAATACAGAATTATCAAATATGTTTGATAAAATGACAGAGAACACTAGGATGTCTTAGTTAACGTAACTTGTCAAACATAAAGCTTAATCCTGTAATGTTTTGAATGTCAGAGAAGGAAGTCTTTTCTCACTACTAAAGTCACTGGAGAATAAGAATGATAAACAGTTTCTGGATCTCTCTCTGATTTAAGAATGAGAAGGAAGCATATAAAAGTTGGACTGTATTGTCCTCAGCTTCTGTCTGCATTTAAATACAAAATTTTCCTTGTGTGATCCCAAGACTGTGCATTGTCATTCAGTGCAAGTAGCATACAAAAACATTGTGTGGTGATTAATGCCTGAAGAATTTTATGACTAACCATGAAAATCATAATCTCTTTTAGCATGGTCATCATTATATGACATCAAAGTTATTAAACAATTTTATCAGGAGAATGTAAGTACATTTTACTGCTGTGTTGTGGTAAGAAGACTATATTGAGCCAACATCTAGCAATTCGTACCTGGGATTAGGATTTCTGATAAAAAATGTCCAACTACAGATTAGAGAAAGATTCCCCGAGTTCGTGTTCTGAATTGCACTCTGGTTCCACCAAGTCTTCCTGTTCTTCTGATGTAACTGGTTTCTTAGACTTTATTATGTATAGGTGATGATGCTTTCGTATTTCAAATCATTTCAATATAAAAATTAAGCTTTCTAAATATTTAGTTTTCTTTGTGCATTAGTTCTCCAAACACACTCAAAGTAAGTCTCTTTTTGTTCCTTGGCTTTGCATCAAAATGTAGGGATAGTGCTGCTTCCTGTCTCATAAACTAGTCAGGAAAAGGACTTTGTATATTATTAGCTCTATAAATAGCACCTATAGCAGTGGACCCCCGCGCTTTGATGTAAGCCACTCCCTGCTATTGTAATGCCAATAATAAACAACACATAAGCAACGTATTTATAATTAAATACTGACATTTCATTCCAAAAATAACTTATACACAGCCTTTACATTTTGTTTGCTTGCGTGATTAAAACAAGGAGCATTTTTCTTTCCACAGGGGAAAATGAAACTGGGAATTTGGAAGTCACGTAGTTAATACCAAACAGATAATTTTGCAGTTGAATAGGAACAGTGACTTGTGTTAACTCTGAACCACGTTATGCTTCCTTGTGTACTTAAGCTTTTTTTGAAGAAAAAGGATTTTGCCTTCTTATTAGTGTTTCTCATTAGAAAGTGTTTACTACATAATGAGATGTGCCCAATATCAATTTTACTACAACCATAAAAGAGAGAGAAGAACATTCTCATTAATTTTGACTGTTTGCATTGTACTTCACAGGATGAATAATACTCTTACTGTTGCATTGTGATCTCTCCTTTTATGCTTTTCTTATCACTGATTATGGTCAAGAAACATTTAAGAAGAAATTAAAATAGAATTTACAATAGATGTGGAATAACGACAACCTACAATAAGACCCTGGCTTAATGTATTATATTACATTAATTCTGCCAAAGATTTGAAGAAAACTAACCCTCAGAACTATAGAATTTTCTGGCTAGGCACCTGGAATGAGGCTTTGTGGAGGTAATAAAATTTTGACAACTGGAATCTTTTCTGCAGGTGCAAATAGTATTTTTTTTGTTTGTTTAAATGGCAGGTGTGCTGTAAATTGAAAAAAAAAATCAACTAAGCTTTTTTACTTGTGTAGTTTTGGAATGAAAAGCTAAGCAAAAGAAGCTAGCGTCTATAAAGTCCTGAAATCTCTGATGTCCAAAAATATCTGATAGTTAGTTTTGTTTCGTAATTACATAAAATGCTCTCCTTTGCTCAAAAAAATAACGTTTAGCTTGCAAAACATGGTATGATAAATTTTAAGTATCTAACAAATTTTCTTAAATACTTAAATACTGAATATCTAAATAGCAAAAAATGCTCTTTTGCTTTTTAATTTATTTCCATTTAAATCGAAAAGCTGTTTGATGCAGATTGCAATGAAATGTGAAGAAAAAAAAAAAGACAAATCAGCGTTTTCTAATACAATAGGTTGTAAAAATTAAAACCTTGCTAAATGTATAAATACGTGTGTAGGTATCTGCTTATCAAAAGTTCTTTACAGCTGGGTTTAACTGCAAATCCGTCCGTCTTTATGATTACCAAATAATGAATATATTAGGAAGATTACAAAGTTCATTTTAGAGTGTTAATTAAAGGTGCTTTGCCTGACATTTTAAGCACTGACTAGCATCGGTGATGTAAGAAATTCTGATTGTAATAATTGTAATAATAATGCTATCCTGCTTTGCAAGCTGCATCAGAGTTTGCTTGAAATTTTAGCTTTTTAGTCCACCGTTTTCTTTCTTAGTTTGTTGATAAACATTGCCAGCTCTGAACTGCAGTTTGATATCACACAGATGCTTCTGGTGTAACGTGCAGCTTTTAAGTATAATTAAAGTAAAATTAAATAGATTCAAGGTACGGCAGGTTGGTTTTTTTCCGCAGCTAAAGAATTATTCTCCCATGGGGTTTAGTTTATATGTGACCATCTTGTTGTCACGCATCAGGTAGGAATGAAGAGTTTGGTCCTTTGTGAGCTGGATGAAGAGCGTAGTTCAGCATTGGCAGTAAATATTTCCAGTTGGAGTGAAAGGAAAAGCTGCTTGAATGCTGTTTGATAAGTGCCTCACCTTTCAGCAGCTGAACAATGGTAACCCAGTGCTTTGATATTTCGTGTGTGAAGGAGTTGTTTCTCCTGCTGAGAGGAGGAGCAGTTTTCAGTATTTTGGTGTGTCAACCTAATGGTCTCAGTTGTGCAGTGAATACACTGGTTTATCACTTAATAACATAAAAAAGCCACTGTAGCCCCTCAGTGTGGGAAGAGTTCATCCGGCTGACATGTTGGCAGCTCATGAACACTAACAGGATGAGGAAATCTGTTTCCTTCCTGAAACCTTGTATCTGAGGAATATACAGACACCATTTGAGACGGGGTTGGTTTGTTGGGTTTTTTTTAGTTTGTTTGTAGTAATACTGCATTTTGCTGTCCGGACAAGGATATGAAACTGCTTTTTGGGAGTTGTTACATTTTTATTAGAGCAAGCACATGAAAGATATACACTGATGATAAACACATCTTCAGCTGTATTGAAATGAAACATAATTACTGGAATTTCTAATGGTATAATTGTCTTGGCGATGTTTTAACTGTCACTGCAATGGCTCTCTTGCAAGAATTTCTTTTTCTGAATCCAGTCCTTGCTCGAGAAGGCTTCTGTAAAGAACAGAGCGGAGTAGAAGCTACTTGATGTTGGAGATTTTAATTGAAAATCTGGAGTGCAGAACTCTGCCTTCACAAATCCAAGAAGAAACATGATTTGGAATTAAAAAAAAAAATATTTTTTTCCTCCAAGAGTAATAACCCGAAGTGAAGGATAGTGAGTCCTTACAAACGGAGGAGGGCAGATCATTTTCAGAAGCTTCAAAGGATTCACATGGGGTTTACTGAATTGGAAACACATTCTGGAGTTGGCTTTTAGTAACTGTGGCCTTTCAAAGCCCTCCCTGGTGCCCTACATCTGTCACTAGGGAACATATAAAATGAATCCCCTAGTACTGTATTGAGTAAATGTAAATTTTCCTGGCTTTATGCAGTTCTGTGCTACTGTACCAGTAGTATGATACAGTTTTTCTTAGAGCTGTCTGGAAACAGCTGTTACTGTGTCGCTGTCGTTTCTTTGAGATTGCAGACCATTTCAGATACAACTGGCAGGCACATTCCTCCTGGGCTGCAGAATGGTATTTTGGATATGCAACTTGCCTGAATCTGTCAAATAGAAAGATTCACTAAATAGTAAAAAAGCATATGGAGAACAAAGTAACCTGGTGACAGTCTTGTCCTTGGAAGAGGCTGCAGAGGCGAGTAAGATACTGATTAAATAGTAAAAAAGCATAGCAAGAACAAACTGACATGGTGACAGTCTTGTCCTTGAAGAGGCTGCAGAGGCGAGTAAGATACTGATGCAGAATGCATCTCCACTTACCCTTACACACTCCTGCTCCGAGCTCTTTAAAAACTTTATCTGCTTGTCTGCTAGTGTGGTGGATTTTCACTTGAGACAGATTCCTACTGTTTTGATCTTGCTAAATCCAAAACTTACCAACATTTGGATAACACACCTCCATAGTCACCTTATACTGTCCCCTCTGATCTTCTTATAGCTGCTGTTAGAAAATGCCTGGTCTTAAACTCTGCTACTGGCGCTGCTTCAGATGCCTTCATTCACTTCCTTTTATCGCCCATTAAGGCTTCCGTCCTCCTTGCCTTTCCTGCTTTGTTAACCTCTCTGTACCAGCCCTTGTCCCATGCCAGCTCTTACTCAGTTTACTCCATGATGCCATTTTTTTCTTCTTGCCTACATAATTTTGTGTCAAACTAGTTGTGCAATTGCTGGAATTTTACAGATAATTTTTTCTAGTGCTTTTTTTTCTGTAAGACAGGAATTACCTTACTGATACACGACTGCTTCTACACCTTCCTTCTTAAATCTCTTTAAAATGAGAATCTGCTCTTCTCCCCAGAATAGCACCTATGGGGAAGTTTTATGCCTATGAAATACTCATTAAATGCTAATAAAACACTGCCATGAAACATTGTTAGACTTGTCCTGTCCCCTCCTTCTCTCAAATCACTCAATTTACAGTCATATGATACAGGTTTAACTTGGGGTTTTACTTGGGCTCCAAGGCTGTGAGTTACTCATTAGGGACACCTGGTTTTAGTATTAGTTTGATATTCAGTAAAAGTCCATTGAAGCTGATCCAATTGCAGGATCAGGGCTTCAGATGGAGCACAAGTGTTGTCCTTGATCTGTCCTTGTACAGATATGTACATATAAGTAAACAGCTTACAGTAAGTAAAAATTATACTCAGGTGGCTTTCTGTCCTATGTCTGCAAGAGAATCTATAGCCATAAAAGCACAGTATGTGAAAAATGTAAAGCAAAATGCATGGTGCTTCATAATATGCACTTCACTGTGCGCTTTCCAGTACAATAAGACAGTAAAACAGGTTTTTAATGTTTTCACAATATAAGTCTGTGAAGTGGTTGGTTCTTAACTTGTCAAACAGCGCTTTTGTGTGAAGGCTCAGAATCGAGCTGGAAGGCTGCAGGAGGGGTCTGCCCAGCTCCTGACAAGTGACCATCACCATTCTGTGTCATAGCGATGAAGTTTCTGGGTTTGTCTGTGCTGCATTTTGAAAATGCAAACCAAATTATTGTGTTTTCTGTGTTCTGCAGCTCAAAAATGTGAATGGAGGCAGGAAGCCAAACAGTCGACATAACTAAAACCTTCATTTTGGTTTCCTGACAAACTCCGCTTTCTGAAACTAGTTCTGTTGACTTTTGCAGTTTTCTTTTCAATGCGGATGAGCTCATAGCTCATTTTATAGCAAGAAAACGAACCAAAAGATAGATATTTTGCTAGTCATCGTTTTTCTGCTTCAGAATATATTTTAATTTTGGTTTTTAGCAATAGCCTTTTTAGGACTGGCAGCCTCCATGGGGATTAAAAATTACCCAGGTTTTGCTTTCGTAGATAGAAGCTCTTGACTTATATCAGAAAGTGCTTTTTAAATAGTTTGAAGAATCCACTTCAACAGGAAAATTAGGAGTGGCCAGTATGCATGCTTCTCCCACAAGGCATGTGATCAGTTGGAAAGAAATGAGCTCATCTGGATGTTCAAATGCCAAAAAGGGAAGAATCTAGCAGCTGTTGTCTTTAAAGTCATCGTGATAATGAATCACCAATGCAAAGATTTTTTTTCTCCACTCGAGTGCCTAGCTTTTGCTCTTTCAGTTTCTGAGCTACTGTTGCAACAGGAAAAAAAACATAATGCGAAATGCATGAAAACAGATCCATTGAAGTGTTTAATGAATTATTTAGCTAATGAGATTGTGGCTTAGTTGTTATTCTTTGGAAATGTGCAGGTGTTTGCTTGCCGTTAGGAATAGCTCCCACTGGCCCACCTCGCTGCCCCGTTCTGAACCATTCAGCAAATAGCAAGTCTGTGTGTCATTTTGCCAAAGTGCTTTGTCTGAAAAAGCGCTGACAAAAATCAGGCGGATTTTTCTGGAGGAAGCTGCATTCTCTTTGTGTCTCTGTTTGCTGTTACTCACTGTATTAGTCTAAACAATCCAACTGGTTAAATTCATGTGTATATTATGCACGGGTTGGTGTTGCTCCTGTGTCTGCCATTGTGCAGTGTTTTGAACAGCTTCAAGTACTTCAGTTTCAACAGTGAATCTTGTTTTCATGGGTTTTCTTTATGCTCTTGCTGGAGTTTCCCTAAACCAGATGAGATTTCAAATATATTTTGCAGTTCTGAGTGAAGCATGTGCTTATAAAAAAAATGTAGTCTGTGTTCTTATTCATACACAGAGAATGTTTTTAATTTTAAAATCCCCTGGCTTTGTGAGAATCACAAGAGCAATTATCATCAATATTGATCATATTTGACAGCCTCTTGTTAAGTGAGATCTTTTTATTTTGTCCTACAGCTGGGGTAAACAGCAACATAAATCCCACTCAGAAGCTTTTATTTAGTTAGAGAATGCAGCTTCAGAATGAATTGCATCCTATTCTCCTATTACTTAAACAAATCAAGAATGAATTGTCTTGCGGAGAGCAAGCCTGTCTCATAAAAGGAGACCATTTATAGACATTTTAGGAGGCTTTTTTTAAAATAAAATCAAAGGATAAACTGTTTCAGAATGTACATATCATAAGGAGAGCAAGCTGTGCAAGGTATTCTTACGTAGCATCTTTAATTTCTGAGAAAACAGATACTACACAAAATATGATAAAATCTTGCAAGTAGCTTCACTTGCAAATTTAGAAACTACTCAGCATATTACAGATGGTAAAATAATAAGCCATACTTACTTGTGTATCATTTTGGTTGTTAGTAAAATTTTAATCAAACTGGTGGTGGTATTGAAAACTCCCCACAGTGTTATGATTGACTTCTAGAACTAGAGGCCAGGTGCGTTGCAGTATTACAATTTAAAATAATAAACAGTGGTCTTCTGTGCTTTTGGCAAAGTTTTGGAGTGCTAATCCAAATCTGAAATGTGCATACATTCATGTTAGCATCCCTACACACGGTATAAAACGAGCGCGTCAAAGATAGATATCTATATATTTCTCTTTATAATGTGCTGTATGCTAATTTAAATAATGTTATTTCCTCCTAAGGGACTTGATTTTAAAGGCAGCTTTATTCTGATCTTATTATAGAGCAAATTCCAAAAATCGAGTGTTCTGGTTACAGCACAGCTGAATGTTGGATTGGTTTAACTTTCCAGGTTTGGCACATATGCAGAATAAACTCTGTGCTCATCATGGCTGGGATGTTGATGTGCTGCATCAGTCCTGGCCCAAAGTAGACCCCGAGTACCTTCAGCCATCGGATGTCGTGGAGATGTCTGTTCTGGTAAGAGCGTTTTCATTTCTTTTCAGTGGTGGTCAATTACTGCATTACGAGCTCAGGGGATGACGAAATTTCTGCTCTTGTGGAGGTCAGTTCCCTTCTTTGGTGGCTCAGTGAAAGGAGAGGTTGAACATAAGCTGCAATTACCATTGTGCTGAGGAATTAAAACGGTTTCCTAAGTGATAAAATGTAGCAAGTCTGAGGGGAGATGATAGAAGTACAAATATTTTTGAGTGATTGCATATTAGTACCTGTGGAGATTTGACCAATGAACAGCTGTGGATAAGGATGGTACAGACAAAACTACAATCAAATTACAGGTCCCTCCAGATTTTTTGCCTGACAGTGCATTTACGATCTTGGCCCTGTACAAAAATGTATAATTGGGTGACATTTCTTGTGGTACCTGTAGTGCTATGGTTGCCTAATACAACCTATCATACGCTGGGTTAAGTTGCTTTGATTTTTGCCAAACGGTGTTTCCTGACTGCCTGGAGCTGAACTTGAGGCACATTTCAGCAGAGCGTATTTGGAAGGAGGGTGAAGAAAAAAGTTGTCTTTGCTAATGTTATATGTGCGTTCTGGTTTCTCTTTGATCTCTACTACCTTTGTGGGCTAGGGAAGGAGCTGGCAGGTCAGTAGAAGAGTGGATATATAACTACATTTAGTTAACTTGTAATTTTCCAACATGTGTGTGCGTATGCACTGTGTGGTTTACTGTCTCTTTTTCCTACATCTCTAATTAACTAGTCTATTCAGCATGCTCCCAGGCATCCTAAAGCTTTATTGTTAGATGGAACCACTGCAGGCTATAGAGGTTCTGCCTGAAGCCAAGGGGGTGGGATCCATGAGTAGGGTCTCAGCTCTTCCATGAACTTGACTCCTGGTCAGCTTGTATTCAGGTTCTTCATGCTCAGGCATTATGATAGTCTGTAATTACATAGCTGCGTGCTATTACATCCGCAGGAGTCCTGCCTTTTTATTTGTTCACCAAAGAATAAACTTCAATATGTCATGCAGACATTCTAAACTTAAATGTTTCAAAATAAGTTAAATCTTTCAACTTAAACACTTTTTGTATTTCTGGACATTGAACAAGACGGAGCGTCTAGGAAGAAATGTCATTTGGTCATGTAGAACTGCATGTTCTCAGTGTGTGCATAAGAGAAACAGCAATGCATTTTATCTGTGTTTTATTCTGTTGACTCCTTTGGGTAGAAGGAGTAAGGCACTTGGGTTATTTTTGTTCAGCTGGGTTTTTTTGAGAAGGAAAGAGATTGGTTGCATTTAAGGGAACTCGTGCTGCTGTAGATTTCCTTAATCAAAGTATCTTTGCAAATAATTTTGTATCTTCCCAGATCTCTCAGTCCACTTTAACAGAATAAGAAAAGCTGCTAAAATATTTTCCTAGTGTTCAACACACACCCCTAGCAGAAGATACAGAGAATGTCTTTGTCAAGGAAATTTTCAATTGGCATCTTTTCCCAAACCCAGGAGAAGGACTCGAGTGCCAGCTGGGGTTAATAACAGACTTAGCCTCATATTCACTGTGGGTTTACTGCTTCTTTTTCTTTCTTTCCTTCTTTCTTTAAGTTCTAAGCATGTATTTATACCAGTGAAAAGGTCATATAACCACAAAAATCTTCATTGGGTATAATCACTTTGCTCAAGCTTAAAATAAACTTTTACCTTCAAGCACAGCTAGCAAACATCTTAAATTCCAGTATTCAGTTTATAAGGACGTCATGAATGAGCAATTGTGTAAATATAGAAACTTCTTTGCAATTGTGGTTAAAGCAAACATTATATTAAACGTATCTTTAAAATAAAAAGTTCAGCAATACAAGGAAAACTCTGAACTCCATGTTTTTAAGATTGTACAACTGAATATAAAAATACGCAAACGTTTCACTGATATTTTTCTGCTGACATTAAAACTTCTTTCTCAAATAGGAAAACAGAAGAATAAACATTAATTTGCCTTTAAACAACCATTATGAAAATTATTTTTGCTTCTTTTTCTGATTCATTTCATCAAAGCCATAGCCTTGTGTAGAAGCCCTCTAATAAGAGAAAGAGCAAGGCCTGTGTGCTCAGCCATGTATTCATGGAATAATATTATGTATGTAAACACCTTCCTTAGTTCTGAGAAAGTAAGTGAATTAAAGACCAAAGGGACAAGTTCCAGTTTTGAATTGGGAATAATTCTTTAAAATAGTGCCTGGGGGCGTGGGGTGCCTGGCTTTCTACTGTAACAATAAGGCAAAAGAGAAATACGGGGAAGCGGGGAAAAATCACCAGAAATGTGAATATTTTAAAATCTTGTGGACACTGTAGGTTTTTGTTTGGCTGTAAAAATAAATTGCCCTCATTAAACCAAGAAACATTTGACATAGGGAGGAATTGGTTGGTTGCAAAGAGGCAGTGTCTCTTCACAAGGCTGCACAGTCACACGGAGTCTTTGGGCCACAACCCTATTCTTCTCAAGACACCAAACCGCCTCAGGCTGCCAGGGGTTTGCCTGCTGAGACATTATGGTTTTATTTCCCTTGACACAAAATACTTCATTATTTCCTGTCTGTGCTGGAGTTACGTCTTGCCATATTTAACCCAAAGCAGCAACCAACTCACAATACAGATTGTCTACGAGAGAGACATTTAAATTCACTGTGTATGCACGGTATCTGTTATTCTAAAGGTTACTGCTAAGTCGAATATTTTCAGTTGTACCACATATTGTTAATGCTGTGAAAAATCTGACCCCAGTGTAGTGTGCGTTTCACCCTACGACCACACCTCCGACCAGCACTCCTCACATTTTCAAGGAGGTGCAGAACTGGTAGCAGCTGTGGTCTTACAAGTGATGTTTTTTTTAAAAAAAATAAGCTAAGTTTGTGTCATTTTTCTTGCTTTGGAGTATGAGGAAGACCTAAAAGTGCACAGATGTTTATTTTCCTTTTTCTTCTCAGAAGAAAGATGGTAAAAAAAAAACATTTGAGTTGAACTAATAATTCCTCTCCACAGCCTCCAGGTGTTTATTTTCCAGCCTTTTGTGATTTTATTTTGTCCTTCATAACTTCTTTAGTTCCCTCTAGCTCTCTCTAGGTCCAAAACAGTCTAAAACGGCAAATTAAAAAAAAAAAATAAATAAAGGAAAGAAATTAAAAAGAAGCAGGTTCCTTCAAGGACCCAAGCCTTATTTGTTTCTCCTCTTGCAGCTGGCCATGGAGGTTTTTCAGAGAAACAAGGCTGCCAACACCCACGTTTCTTGTGCTGGCACTTTTACCTGGAGCTGCCGAGGGTTTTGCTGGTCTAGTGAGATACAGAGAAGGAGACAGAGGTGTAGCAGAAGACATTTGTCCTGCTGAGAATCTAACCCCTCGACTAAAAGGATAGGTGAATAGGATGCTCGTTACCCATAACCAATCTGCTGTTTGATGAGATTTGTGGACTCAGCTCACAGCACGGTGTGGGAAGCTCAGGAGAGATGCTGTGGGAAGGTACACAGTGTCAGGTTGCCTGGGCTCCTCGACCTTTCTAGGAAAACACAACCATTTATTTACCATGTTGATTTAGACCGGTTGGCTTTTCTGTTGAGCACAGCACCAAATAGGCGAGCTGCTGCACATCTCCCCTTGCCAACATCCATCCACTGGGACGTATTAATTTGCATCACGGAGGACAGTGAATGACATTTTAACTAACCAGGCATGGTTTTCAACTGCAGGCTGTGTGTCCTAGCAGCGAGCTCACAGGCTCGCTTTATATTCTCCATTTGGATTTTACTGTTTTCTTTTTCTTGTGCAATATATTTCTTCCCTGAAGCGCTCTGCCAAAAAGAACTACTTGTATTTATTTTTCACAAAAAGCTTTAATAACTAACTCTTCTGTGTTTTCCAAGGAATTTACTTTGCACAAGGTACCATAAGTAAAGTTTAACACAGGCAGCCTGTTACAATACCACATTTTGGATGCATGTAGGAATAGTTAAAAGCCTACCTACATTATCACTGAAAATTAATGTCAAGTCTAGTGAAAAACCAGAAATTACTCATCCCAGCTGCATTTGAGATTTCATCTTGTTCCTTAAAAGTCTGTCCCAACTTCCTCAGAGAATTGCACAGATTATTTTATTTTAAATAAAAGGCAAACTAGGCACATGAAATAGGTTTCTCTCATTTGCCGTGTGTTGCACACCTGTATCTTGGATAAAATCCAGGGGAAAACCAAGCTATGTGCATTTCTATGTCCAAGCTGTATGAAGCAACATATGCTACTTTTAGATGATTGAAAACTCATTCCAATGATGTCCACAGGTCAAAGATCTGTACTACATGCAGCAAATTTTTATGCAAGTAATTTGATAGAACTGGATTTAAAAAAAATCAAATTATTTCACTTGCTAAATGTAGGATTGATGTTATTTTCGTTAATCCACTGAAAGTATTTTATATTCATCTGAAAGCTTTTGTAATAATGAATTTTATGCTAATTCCAGAAAGGTGCTCAGTAGAGCTCCATAGTCTCTGTCCATTACCTACTCTCACTGGATGACAAAAGACTTAAAAGACCATTTTATAAATTAAGATGATTCCCACTGAAGGCCTTACTCAATTTTACTTCCATGATTCTACCCTGCTGATGCAAAACCAGAATGTGAGCTGCTCTGAAAAACAGCCACGCACAGGAAAGCGTCACCTCATGAGTGGTTGTCATCTTTGTGGTCGGTGTTGGTTTAATGAGTCATCTGTTTAAGTAAGAATGCAGTGTTAAAGCCTATTTTTCTGAAAATGAGCAATGACGAAGCTTTCAAATATCTTTTCAGCCACAAATATTTTTATTTTAAAAAATCTTGCATTTGAATCTCTGTAAGGGATCACCTAATGTAGAGAACCCAAATTGCAGCCTAGAAGCATGTACAAACCAAGATTCCCACCTGACAAACCATTATGTTTACTTTCATTATTCAGCTTATGTAACTATCATGTTTTTAAAGTTAAAAGATTGCCGCGTTGCATAGTCACATGCTGCTCGCTGTCTTCGAAACTAAGACTTCTATGGCTACTTCAATTTTCCTTGAGCATCATCAGTCAGAATTTCATGCTCTTATTTTATGGTAGAGGGACAGGAAGTATGGAGAATTTTATCCTCTACTTGGAAAGTTTGGTTTTGGAGAAAAGAGAGTTTGATCCGCTTTCCCCCCTTTCTTATGTAACAAGATGGATTGGATTAAGGAACGGAAATTGTATAAATCGGTCTAGTAACCTCTGTTTTTTTGTGTTTTCATGTCTCTTTTTCAGATCAATAACAAAGCTTGCGGCAAAGTTTTAGTGCCTCAGCAGGCAGCGCGCAATTTTGAAGAAGTCCACGAGCTAGTTCTTCAAAGTGAACTTGGAGTCAAGCATCTCCAGGGACGAACCATTAAAAAGGCCTTTCTGTCTCCCAGAACTGCCCTTATCAACTTCTTAGTGCAAGAATAGCACTTTGCTGGGCTGTAAAAGGGAACTGGAATCTTTGGAGGCAAAACTGATTCAAAAATACCAATAATGGTGGTTTAAATCTCATGTAACAGTGGGGAAGAAATGTCATTAAAATCAGGCTGCTGCTAAATCTTCATTTCGGCGTGGAGAAATGCACGGAATTAAAGTTTCTTGCCGGGTCACAGCAAGGTGCTGTTTGTCCTGTTCTCTGGGAGGAGAATGAGAAGGAAGCACAGAAGAACAAAATGCTTGTAACAGAATGTAAATGATATAAAGTGCAGGGGTTTTTCGTTTCAGCCTCGGGAATATATCCTGTTGGAAAGTTGGCTTGACTAAATGCAGAAGCATAAATATGATTCCAGGACTAAACAAGTGCCCTGAGTACGTGCGACTCCAAATGTTAGGTGAGCTGCAGTCAGTCTTTGCTCCCTAGAGCTCATGTTTGGGTACCCTACCATTAACTAACATTTTAAGTTGTAAGAAAACGTTACTGCAGACTGTTAAATTAAAAAAGGATTTGTTTAGCGCTGGCCTTGGGCACAGCAGGTAGCCAGAATGGGGTGGATTGATAGATTTCACATACATTTCAGAGCCAAGCCAAGAAAAAGGTCAGATTATGATCCAAGCCCTGCTTTAGCCAGGATCCTCCTTCCTCGCTGGCATATTTTTGTTGGCTCATACATGAGAGGTTCAGATTCAGCAAAGTGCTGGCAGTTGTTTCTGCACAGAAGAGACTGGAAGGTAGCTCCTACACAGGAGCCATCTCAGAGACTTTCAGGGGGGATTCAAGAAAGAGTCAGCTGCCAGAGGGCAGCTGTGGGGGAGGCAGACAGCATGCTTTTTGCCTCTACTCCTAGTTCTTGGAGTGCCTAGATCATAAAACTTGAATCAACGTTCTTCCTTTTTTTTTTTTTCTCTTTTTCTGACGGGTTCATTAAGTGGAAATAGCCATCATGTTTCTAAAAATCAATCAGACTTTCATAAAACACAGCCATTCTCACGCCTCATTTCAACCATTTTATTTCTAGGCTGCATTGCTTGTTATATCCACATGGAAATGTTTATTGTATTTAGCAAATGCTTGAAAAAGGGTTTCCAAAGAGACAATTACAGGGTTCATTGTGTAAAAATGTCTTTTCTTTAACAGCCATTAAACTAAGTAGTCCAATAATCCAGCCATTTATGAGCCGTTCTGACAGTAAAGAAGTCAGCAATAAGAACCAGGCAAATAGAGAGGACTATTAACCCTCCAGCCCAGCAGTCACCCAGACTCTGTATGAGACCAAAAGGAAACCAACAAAAATCTCGCTTTTAACAGTAAATAAGTCCAACAGATGCTGAGCAGCTAGGATCAAGATGGATCCCATCGCAGTGTGAGTACCAGCTAAGCAATAACCATATTCATTTTGGTTTTATGCATTTTTGGTACCAAAAACCTGGCTGCATAGCAGAGATGCCAGGCTCAGCGAGCAGATTCAGCTCGACACATCCCTGCTTCTCCCAACAAAACTCTTCTGATTTTTGCTTCCTCCTGGAGCACACTTAGGCAGGCAGATTTTCTCTTCCTTGGACACAAGAATGACTATGGAACGGAAAATTTATAATGAAGATACGGTCTTTGCAGTTTTAAGACTCCAAAATTCTCAGCCACAAAGGAATGCATTCAGACATTCAAACACAGGCCTTTAGTTGGAGTTAAAATAATTTGAATTCCAGTGTCTGCTTGACATATATGTTGTTATAAATTCATAAAACTCCTGTTCAGAAGCCCCTAAAAGGACTGTGAAAGAGATCCTTTAAAGTAAAGTCTCTAGCACAGCACAGTCCTGCTTTTTTTTCCTGTACAAAAATTTTAACGCACCCCGTGGAAGCGTTTTAACCAAAGTGTTGCTTCGGGAGGAAGGTGACATGTTTGGTGTAAATAAAAACTTTTCAAATTTACAAGGCTGAAGAAAGATGTTGTAAGCCCAGCAGCCCTACGGTGCCTTTAAACAAAAGCTGCAGTCAGTGCAGGGCCGAGCAGCAGCCCACAGTGTTTATTGCTGTTAGCACCGGCGGGTATTTGCTCTGGCCGGAGGAAGTGAGTTGTAGATGTCACTCGGTGATTCAGGCAAAAATCAAAATAAGGAATGGACTTCCACAGGCTAAAAAAGGAAAAGTAGTGAATAGCAATGGCACAAAAAGCGTAAGTAAGTTGAAATTCAGTGTGGTCCAGAGGGTACAAAAAAAGTGGCGAGAAGATGAGCGAGGGAGATGATGCAGGAAGCCTGGCAGAGCCAGGTCAGTGGCTCTGGTCCCCTGGTCAGTGTGTGTTTGAAAGAGGCCAGAGGTGCCAGCTGTGGAGTCATGTGTTTGTCCTGACAGCTGCTGACATTTCTCATCAGGTCGACCTGCTCTGGGGCACAGTTGCCATTTGTCTTGAGGATAATTGCGACTCACAGGGTTGGCCTGTGCATGGATGGGACAGATACTGATACACAGGCTGTAACCTCTTACCAAGCCTTTTTAAAATAATTTATCTGGACGGGGCTTTGAGCAACCTGGTGTAGCGGGAGGTGTCCCTGCCCATGGCAGGGGGGTTGGAACTCCACGGTCTTTAAGGTTCCTTCCAACTCTAACCATTCTATGATAATCAAATTTATTTAACAGTTGTTACTTACGGCTCAGTACAGATGCATCTGTGTGCTGAAGGTGGCACAAAGCGTTGTCACAGGTTGTGTGCCCTTGAAGAGTTCAGTGGCTAAACAGTGTGGGAGTTTTAAATCTGGGCAGGGATACTTGAGGAGCAAGAAGGGAAGGTGCTGATGGGCAATGAATCAAATTGCGCTGTCCTTGTCACACACGTTAAAATGGATATGGTGCCACTGTCCTTATTGCACCAAGCCATGAGCCAAAGTTGTGGGAGATTCGCTAAATCCAGTGGGATAGACCCAGGATGAACTACTCCAAGAAATGGGTCCATGACACGGAAGGGGCATTCCTTGCATCCTCTGACTCAGTGATAACAGACTGGTCACTGATCCAGTCTGTATCAAGTTTCTATTTTAAATAATAGAAAATTTTAAAAATAATTACTGGTACACTTTCTACCCCTAAATCATTCATGTAACTGAATTTCCACAGTGTCCAGCCCTCAGCTGATCCTGGAAAAATAAAAATTGGCAAAGTCCTGAGAGGTCACCGAATACTTTTCTGATGCTGCTGATTTCATGCGAAGGATCTCAGATGCTGGGGAGATGGGGACAGTGTAACGTGACAGAGGAAACCACAGTGTAGAAAAAAGTGTTTTTAGGCGTGGGTGTTTTGTAGCCATCTCCAGTGACTGAGATGAGATGACACGGACACACCAACGCTGCTTTGCAGCCAGGCAGTAGGGCTTTTAACATCACGCTAAGGAAGAGTGTTGCAGCTTGGGTCACTAGCTAAGGAAGGTCTCCAGCCAGGTTGTCCCCCCTACACTTCAAACAAAAACCTGCACAAGGGCATTACTAAACAAGTGTGTATTTTTCCATGCCCTTCCCCTGAATCTCAAATGGAGATTTGGTGCAAATGAAATCTGTGCTCTCTCTCTCTCTCTGTGATTTACTGACTTACATAGCACCTCAGAACTGACATGGGGTTAACGATGGCTTTTTCTGATCTGACTTTGTAAAAGCCTGCTTGTTCTTGTGGAAGGAGACATTCCACAGACAATGCAGGTCATACAGCTCCTCTTCTTTGTCTCCCCTTCTTCAGTGTAAAACCTCACAGAAAGCTATTCCCCTTCTCTAAACTTTTTACAATCAACATGAACTAGAAAGAATGTTAATTAGCCCTTTGCTGGTTGTTCCTTCCTAGGGCAGTTTGCAGTATGTAAGATTTTTCTAAAAGCTTGGCTATAAATGAAGACAGGGAGAAATCACTGGCTTTTTTTTTTTCTAGTATTGCAATATTTGCTGCAGTTTACAGAGAGGGGAGTTGTTTTATTTATGTATATTTACCAACTTGGAACAGTATGTACGCTGCTTTTGCTGGATGCTTTTTCTGCTGCTTTATTTCTTTAGTTCCCTCCTGTTAGGATCTGAGGTAATTTTGTATTAAAGGAGTGTGCTGTAAGAGAAGTCTTGCATGGGAAGCCAGACCTATCATCAAAACTCAAGCGGTGAATATACTTACTAGCCCACTGATTTCTATCAGTCCAGGTAATGTCCACTTTTGACTTTTTAAATAATGTTGCTGGAACTACAGCCGTGTTATTTTTTTTTTATGAAAACAGGGTTTATGTCTCAAAGAAAGAGCGTGGAGCTGATCACAGTAGATCAGAGGCAGTTTTTAGCATTTCCCAGCCATAGCAAGAGAAGAGCTGAGCTGGAGCTTTATCTCTGCGCAGGACGGAACAGGATCAGAGCTCTCATCTGCAGCCCAGATGATAAAAGAGATCTTGCCTGACACGCGGAGGAAAGGTGGGATTTTTTTTCTCTTTCCTGATTAAAGCGACTTTTCCGGTACCGCAGAGCGTTCTGCAATTCCCCAACGGCATCTGTCCCAGGAGGCCCTGGCTCACACACCACCCTCGTGTCTTGCAGCACTTCTCTCAGGTCAGCCTTGGGTTGGACGGGTTCAGGTCTGGTTTTACCCCCGGAGAGTTGCATCTTCCATTTAAAAATTAGCTCTAGTGTTATGTGTAATCAGAAAGTTCGAACGGGTTTTCCTGGGTTTAGAAGTTGTTGAGGTCTCTGAATGGGAGTATTTTTGCCTGGGTGTAGCAGGGTGGCAGAGAGGAGACCTGATGGCTCTTGTCCTGTCCACCAGCCTTCTGTCAGCAGTGAGAGACTGGAAATTCGGCTGAGCTCAGGTGGATGCTTGTATTTACTGACAGGTGAACATGGCCCAAACCCAGGAGAGATTTTGATCACAGGAATATTACCAAAAGTACCCAGAGATACTGGCCAGGATATTTCCTTGGATGCTCATCTGCCTGGCCATGCCGATTTGTTCTCTGCTTCAGGCTGCCAGATTGCTCAGTCAGCAAAGGAACGTGCTTTGTAAAGGGTTGTCAAACATTGGAACAGCTGCCCAGGGAAGTGGTGGAGTCACCATCCCTGGGGGTATTTAAAAGACATGTAGAGGTGGTGCTGAGGGACCTGGTTTAGTGGTGGACTTGGCAGTGCTCAGTTAACAGTTGGACTTGATTATCTTAAAGGTCTTTTCCAACCTAAATGATCCTATGATTCCTATATAAATGGAAAAGGCTTAAGCATATTGACCTAAATATCCATATCCTTTCTGCCTTTACTTGTGACACTCAGCCTGGGACATTTGGGGCGTAAGAAGTTCTTTTATTTGAAGAGCCTGATCTTCTTCAGTGTAGCTCTAAGCAGAACACGTACATTTACACGAAGAGAAATGCCTGCCTTTGTGCTCGCCATCTTAGATGCAGCACGCTCTTGGGGCTGGTTGCAAGGGGAAGGCCCACACTCACATCTAAGGCTTTCAGCTTCCTTATATACCAGTAGTTTTTGACACGTGCCAAAACCAAGCATCAGAGGTCTGAGGTTCTCCCCGAACACCCACCTCCTGCTGCCAGAAGAGACACAGGAGCTGCCACACGTGGGGAGCTGCTCTCTGGTGGCTCTGCCCGGTGCCAACAAATACGCGGAGCGAAATACATACAGTCATAACAGCTGTAGGTGATCCTACACAGAGCACTGGGTCCAGTTCTGGGCTCCCCAGTTCAAGAAGGACAGGCAACTGCTGGCGATGGTACAGCAAAGGGCCACAAAGATGATGAGGGGCCTGGAGCATCTCCCTTACGAGGAGAAGCTGAGAGACTTGGGTCTTTTTAGTCTAGAGAAGACTGAGGGGGGATCTGATCAATGCTTATAAATATGTAAAGGGTGGGTGTCAAGAGGATGGGGCCAGTTTTCAGTGGTGCCTGGGGACAGGACAAGAAGAAATAGGCACAAACTTGAATATAAGAAGTTCCACCTAAACATGAGGAGGAACTTCTTTCCTGTGAGGGTGGCAGAGCCCTGGAAGAGGCTGCCCAGAGAGGTGGTGGAGTCTCTTTCTCTGGAGACATTCAGAACCCACCTGGACATGTTCCTGTGCAACCTGCTCTGGGTGGACCTGCTCTGGCAGGGGGTTTGGACTAGATGATCTCCAGAGGTCCCTTCCAACCCCATGTGATTCTGTGATCCAGGGTGCCAACAGGGAATAACAAACACGGGACACAAAACCCAGGCAGAGAAGACAGCGATTTAATAAGGGAGCATGACACATTGCTGGCACTGCTGGCTTTGTTTCTGATGAAGATTAAGAGAATTGGCATAACAGGAAATTGTTTTCTGCTGCAAAGGGAAATCAATTGTCTTTAAATACGCAGCAGCGTAATTAGTAAATCTCACTAATTGCTGCAAAATAGAAAGACGAGTGTGCGTTGCAGGGCTGGCTGAGCCAAGAAAGTTTTGGGGAAAAAAAAATTGTAGAAGCTTTTAGAAATGAATATTTTTCTTAAGTACGTGTCTGTCCCTGGAGATCCACGTGGCAGGATGAAATAGCAAGGGTGCCATAAAAATATATACTTCCCAATTTTCCCACGTGAAAGAGCAGTTCAAAACATCTGTTAGTCAGAGAGCTTCTCCTAGGACATGCATGGAAGGACGGGGTGGATGCATTGACCACATCTGGCAAGTCCACTCCAAGTCCACCAAGCCACGTGAGGCCGGTGATTGATGGCAGGATGTCCTCTGACCTGCGTCCAGCCGAGGATTACTAAAGGCCACATACGTTGGTTACACAGGTCACAGTGCCTTTTGTGTTAATGGGCTGATAAAGAGGCAGGGAAACGGAGCTGGAAAATTCTCCAGGGGAGTTCTTGTCCCCATAAAAAGGCTCTTTTTGGTAGAACGCAGAAAACAAACTATTCCATATTCTTTCAAGCAGGGGTAGGAAAACCACCA